TCCCACCATTCCCACTAATTTTTAACAAACGATCCTTTAAACTCTCCCACTTTCCAAGTTCTTCATTCCACACGTCATCAAGTATGAGAAGAAATTTTTTGTTCTCCAACTCTTTTTGAAGATGTGTCATTATCACATTTATTTCCTTTATGCCACTGGTGGTTTCATTAAGAGTTTGCAGCATTGCTCCTAAAATCCTTTCATCATCAAAACTATCAGAAACACAAATCCAAAATGTTACATCAAAAAGTTTTCTATTTTTTACTTCTCTATGCACCATTTTTGCTAGAGTGGTTTTTCCAAGCCCGCCCATTCCCACTATAGGGATGACAGAAAGAACATGTTGGTTGCAAGAGCTACTCAACAAGTTAATAATTTTAGAGACATCATCATCCCTTCCTATGATAACTTCTGAGCTGCCTAGGAAAGAGTCAGTCTTTCGGTTTGGGTTAGGTTGGGCACTTGTATCTACAGCTAGGACTCTAAGTCCATACCCAATTGCATCTTTTTTAAGCTCATCTAAGGACTCATTTATCTTTTGAACTTTTTGAGCCATGCTCAGACGAAATGCAATGGGATTGGAGTGGGAGAAGACGTTGCGTACCTTCCCTGCGACGCTGTTTTGAATCTCTACCTTCTGTCGAAGAATCTCGTAATCAAACTCATCTAGTACATCTTCAGCATCATAAGCTACATCTCGAAGCTTCTCCAACCAAAGCCTCACGGACTCATCTGTTACTGGTCTTTTCTTGGCATCTTGTAACACTGCCTGAATCATGAGCAACGAATCCTTCAGCTTTTCCAGCTCTCCTTTAAATCCCCATGCAAGACTGATCCCTTGAGCAGTAATTAAACCAAGCCGCTTCACTATCTCCTCCGTCGCGAATGAAAGGACTAGCTCAGCCATATTTTGTTTTTGGTAAGTATCGAGAAGGGAGAAATGGTCAGAAAGCTTTGGAAATAACAGAAGGTAAGATGAATTTGTCGTTAGGTTTGTGCATAAAAAGCAGATGGAATTTGTTGTCGTTGACTCTCTTGGGTCGCACGATGTTACACGTTGTCCAATATCGGACGATGTTGATGAAGTTATCTCTGATCGTCAAACTTGCCGTACTATAAATTAACATGAGAGATGTGAACTTGATGCCTTGTTGACTTAACACCCCTTGTCCTCGCCAGATTAACTAATCCTTGATAGCCATTGGCTAGCTAGCTCCTTCAAGGAAAATCATTCCTAAATATTTTGGATCTTCATATTTTCTTTTTCATTCCATCAATTTATCTGATGGAGGAATTGTTGGATTAAAAAAAAAAATACCATGTCATTATTCAATTTTGTCCCAACTTTTTACTTAAGGCAATTAAAAATTATTTTATATAGTTCAATATTTTTTTAAAAAATAATTTAATTTTTATTATCAAATTTTTATTTAAAAATAAAAAATAATTATTTAATAAACATTCAAACTTATTCCTTTATAAATAAGTTTAAAAAATCTATTAAAAAATTTAAAAAATTATTATAAATTAGTTAAAGGATAAAGTACGACCAAGAACAACGTGGCAATAAACTAGTTATAAAAATACAAAAACACTAAACAATTGGGCCAGTAAGATGCATACAGATCCATTAGGGCAGAGGCCCACTAAAAAATACAATTATAGGCCCAGTTCAACTGCCTCACAAGCCAGAAATCAGAAAACAATCACAGGATTGCTTGGATGATTCCTTTCTACCTGCTGAATGTTCTCGTCTCCAGTTTTCAAAAACATTTCTATGTAGAAGTCAATACAATTCTCTTTGCTATATATATATATATATATATATATATATATATAGCAAGGCGGAATTATAAAATAGAAGTGTTAATATGACCTCTCAAAAACCTTTCACTCAACGGTTTAATGATAAATTTTATTCTCATTTTATTGTAATATGATAATTTTAAATTCTTAGTATCAAATTGCATAATTTGAACTTTCAAACTATTGGATTTTGAAACAAATTGGCCAAATTTTCTTAATTGGTTTTATATATAATGGTCAATAGAGTTGATCCTTACATGAAATGTCAAAACCATTTTATTTAGACATTCCGCTCCTAATTATGTTTTTTAAAAAAATTAAAAATATTTTTAAAACCCTTAATCTTGGAATGTTTTTTCAAAAAAAAAAACAAATTATAAATTACATAAAAAATATTTTTAACCCCTTAATTTTGAGTTTTTTTTATAATTTATAATTTATAAAATAAGGGGTCAACCCTTAATTATACTCTTTTTAATTTATAAAATATTATAATTTATATTATAAACATTTTACTGCTCATTGGATATTATAAACATTTTATAAAAAAAAATATTGTAAAAAAATATGATTAACAATACACAATTTCAGACCTTTAAAAAAATATTTTATAAATTAAGAGGAGCCTAATTAAGGATTGACCCCCTAATTTTATAAATTATAAAATATTTATAATACTTCATAAAAAAAAAGTTTTCAAAAATGTTCAAAATTAAGGGGGTTAAAAATATTTTTTTATATAATTTATAAAATATTATTATAAATATTTATTAAAAAAAAGTTTAAAAAAAATCAAGATTAGAAGGGTTAAATTTTTTTAAAAAACAATTAATAGTAAAATGCCAAAAAGATGCTTAGCATTTTAAGTAACGATTAATATAATTAATGGTTATATATAATGATAATTAAAAAATTGGATCAATTTTACCTAAAACAAATAGTTTGAAAATAAAATTATATAATTTGATATTAAAAATCTAAAATTATCAAATCATAATAAAATAAGACAATTTATCTTTAAAGCCTCCATCAAACTCTTGCAAGTCTTATGGGAGAGCCCACAAAGTTTAAGCCAGAAAGGTTTCGAGACCCAGGGGAAAAGAGATGTTCATATATATTACCTTCTGGGGCTGGGAGGAGAAGGGCTCATCTACAAGGATAGTTGGGCTGGCGTTAGGATCTCGTATTCTGTGTTTTGAGTGGGAGAGATGAGTGAAGGAAATGGGCTCTCAATGACCAAGTCTCGACTATTGTGGGCTCAATTAAATCCACTTCAGAATAAAACTCAGGCCCAAATGGTCCAGATTTGCAGATCTTCTTGACTAACATGAAAGCCCACAAACAGTACTTAAACTCCAAACCCATTTTTAAATATTTGTGTTCCAAACCCACAAAGATTTCTCAAATCTCAATCTCCTCTCCAATTATGCAAATGGAGCTACAAATATTTAAAAAATGGTTTAAAGGTAAGCAACAACGTCTTGATTAGGAACAGTAGCAAGCGTGGGCCGGTGGTTTGATTGGAGAAGATGGAGTCATCAAAAACTCAAGTTTTTAAGGTAATCATAGACAATTTTTTAAGAAAAAGTTTTGGGTGTTGAGAGTATTGTTGTAATGTTGTGGAGACTTCCGACAAGAAGAGAATTGTCTGTAGCTCTTGGCTTCAAGAACCGAAGAGGAAAATAGGAAGGTTAATTAAATTCTGAATCTTGGCTGTAGCTCTGCGAAATAACAACAAGATTCAAAGCTTGTTTTTGTGACATTGATTTTATGATCTTTTTATATGATTTATCTCAGTAACGATTCAAATAAGTAAATATATTACATTTTATACAGGGGAAGGCAGACTTGCAATTTCTGTCTGTGATTTTTGTCCCAAAGTAAGTTTCTTTCTGGTCACATGATCAGATAGATGATTTCTGCAGTGCTACTCTTTTGGATATTAAGGTAAACCGTCCATAAGTCATTCGCATTGAATCAAAGATCTAATAATTGCCCAAAAGCCTCCATCAAACAGGATTTTTCTTGAGAAAATTTGTTAATTTGACATAAACGAAGAAGAATTTTTTCACCTTCAAAAAAGAGAAATATGTCAACGTTATTTGGTTCAAACTTAAGTATCATGTTCAATCTGCAATGCTAACTACTCGTAGGTAAACAAGGCAATGAGATCATGTCTATTAACAACAGACTTGTCAAAAGAATCAGCATGCTGTTGGCTTTCTATAGGACTTGGGCTATGGACGAAAGAGACACCTGCCAAGTTTCAATGCCTCTCTGTTTTATTGAGAGACAATCTTATTTTTTATTTTTCAGACATAGGTGAAACCAACATTTTCTTAAAAGAAGGAAAAACTCCGAAGGTTCTAAAAGCTAGCCTTGCTCCTTTTTGGGCTGTGGCCCGGCGAAACCAACAGACTCAATTTAAGCAGAATGAGATTTGTATGCATTAACAGTCCAATACTGTTTCGTACTTTCACTCGACTTTGCAAGCTATACATTACTTGACAATCATCTCGCATTTCCAGTGGCAATAAAGAAGCTAGGTTAGAAGAACTACGGAATTTGAACTCATCAAATGCATTCAAATCAATAATCTTCTCCAGGATGAGAAGAGTAACGAGTTAAGCTTGACGACAGACACTGATGCCAAAAAGCCATGGTACTGCTTGGAAAGCTTCTTGACCAATTTCTACTTCTTTTTCAGCTTTCTTCAATTGTTCAACGTCCGTACATTACAAGCTTAGACGCTGCCACCCAACTATCATGTACTTGAATTTTGATCTTTCTAGCTAAAAGAAAAACGACACCAAAAAATATTTGGTTTGCTGAATTCCCAAAATCAAAACTTGAGTAAAAAGCAAAACTTGTCCAGAAAAGATTCCGAGTTAAAGAACCCAGTTTAAAAATACAGAGGTGACTACGTATTACAAACTACTGTTTAATGTAAGGCTAAGACAACACCAAGCTACGTAAAGCTACGTAAGGCAAAACATTGTTCAATCGAAGGAAAACAAAGTTCACATCTATTCAAAAACTTCATACAATTCTAGTAATAATTATAGAAATAACAAGCATTCCAAAAAAAGAATCCAGAAATATAAAATTCTAATGTTCAAAGATAAAGATAAAATTTTCTGCTCAGCTCATGATAGACTATTCTCTTCTTACAAATCTATGGAGCTTAAAACTCCTTAGTAGAGGCGAACAGGAGTACCCATCGTACTCTTAAGGTGCAGGGACTTCACCTGATTTCCAACAAAAGACATTAAATGAGTACAGAACCAATCTAATCAAATAGATAGCAATCTAACTAACAATCATAAACATCCCCGTTATTAGATGGGAAAGATTTGAAATGACAGAGATTCTAATCCCACCCAACCCTTATAACACAAGTGGGCTACAACCGCAAGCCAGGAAGAAGATAATAGGCAGTGACATAATTGTAAACAAAGGATTGATTAGGTGCCAAAAGGAGCGATAGCAAAAATTCCAGCAAAGCTCAAAATAAAGAGCTCATAAACATAGAGATAGGCTCAGACAAGAAAAGAAAAAACTTCTAAGGACAACGACAGAAGAAACAAAATTGCAAAAAGAAAATAAAAATTGTGAATAAGTAGTTTTCAGCATAAATCAAAAACTCATCCTGAGAAAGCTAAACAGACAGTAGGTGAGGATCGGTTTAGAACTCACATTTTGCCAATTCTTCTTCAAAAGTGAGACGAGGAAATTGACACTCATCTGCACATTCTGGAAGATCTGCTTGTCCTCCATATCACAGTTCCCAACAGCAACACCCATGCACAGAACTTTCTTCAATTGAAACTTCACAGTTGCTTTGATCTCATTAACCTTAGACTCTAGCGACTCTTGGTGGGTAACAAGGGTGGGGAACTTGCCTGCATTCAAGTATAAATTGGCATAAAAAAAGGAATCCTAAAGCCAATTCAACACTTTCACTACACAACCACAGTTTGGGAGGCAACAAGCAAAACATTGAGTAATGCTCAAAATAAACTTGCCTGCCTTGTTGAGACCAGGGCCTAAAAGACGTGGAATCTGCTTGATGACAGACTCAGAGGCCAAAAAGGCATGGTACTGTTTTGAAAGCTTCTTTACCAATTTCTTATTTTTGTTCAACTTCTTCAATGCTTCAACATCCATCCATTGCAAACCTATGGACGTTGCCTGCCCATGGAAACCAATAGTTACAATCCCATTAACGGCTCACACACAAGAAACAAATCCTTAAATCCCAGGGCACAAATAATAACTGTCATAAAAAAAAAATGTTCATAGCCCAAAAAAACACCTGCATTTCACTTCTTATAAACTTGCAGTAATGTAATCAAACCATTGTCAAAATAAAATATTTCAAATGTCTGAATTCAAAAACACATTTCAAAATTCTTAATTCAAAAGGGGCAAAACAAAACATGCTATTCAGGCAGAAAAATATAGAAAATCATAGATACCAAAACCTCACAAATGATTCAAACATCCTTTTCCTCTAATCCATATCAGCAGTTTAGACCAAACAATTACCTCCTCCACATGCTGAGCATCTCCAAGCATGCAAACCTTCATTTTGGGACGGGGAATATGAGGCAACTTGACAGAGCCGCTGAAGCGCTTATCCTTTTGTGGGTCGTAGTTTTTCAACCCAATCTGAAGCTCAATAGTCTGCGTGAACTTGCGTGGCTTCTCCTGCACACCATTCTTTATGGTCGTCACAGCTTCTCGGATTGTATCACCCGAAAGCTTACTGCAACAACAAAAAAATTCAAAAACAAAACGCTTTTCATTCTGGGGTTTGAGAGATCAAAGAAATGCAAAAAGAAATACTGGAGAACTTTGCCATCAATACCTCATGGTTGAAAGATTTCAAGAAGGGCTCTAAAGATTTCTTTCTTTCTTCCCTGTGAGACAAACAAGAGGATTAGTCCGAGATCAGAGATTAAAGCAAGGAAAAAAATGTGAAAAGTACGCAAACGAGAGAAATTTCACTCACCAAAAATGAAGAAACCCTAGCCAGAAAGCAGTCGGCCAAAGGGAGATATATAAATAGGTCAGTGACTGATAGAGTGCGAAAGCTAAACCCTAGCTGCTAGATGACATGTTTAGTGGGCAGGGCCTGGTTTACTTGTGATTTTGTGGATTATGTTCGTGTGGGCTTGATTGAACTGTTTATATGGGCCAGATCCAATCCAATAGGTTTGCACGACTTTAAAAAAAATATTGATATTAATAAATAGTATGATTAAACTCACTACGTAAATAATAATTAGTCCCTCTGTTTTCAAAAACAAATTAATTAATAATTTTTGTTTCAAAAACTAATTATTTATTTTCTTGACCAATATTGATAACACTTAATTTAATATTGCTTTATTTGAAAAAATATCATCTTTTCTCATCAATTTAATCTGAAAATTTTGCTAAAATTATGTATTGAAAATTTAACACGCTTATAACAATTTAATATAGCTCAATTAAAAATATAATGATAAATTAAAAAATTATTTTATTATATAGCAGGATGCTAAACCACTGATCTATAAATAAATAAAGGTTTTTTATAGAATGTACACATTTAAGTTTTAATACAAAAGTCTCTAAATTAATGGGGCATTCCAACGCCATCATCCTCATAATCTTTTTTCTTTATTACGTCAATTTATAAAAATTCAATTTTTTTTTTAAATGGGTCTCGAGGTGTGCTTTAATTTTAATAGATTTGAATGATAAAAGTAAAATTCAAATATTAGGCCTAACTCTTTTTTATTTAGTCAAGAGTAACATTAAGTTGGAAGTTCAATGATTAAATAAATTCAACATTGCTAAACCACTAAAACAATGCCTCGTTGGCATCAAGAGAATAAAGCAAACGGACACAAGAAAATAAAATTGCAGTTACCATCCATTCAAACTCATCAATATCTATATATACACCTAACCAATAATTGATTTTAATGTTAATAATGATCTAAAAAACATGTATATATTTTATAAAGGATTTGACATTTCTATAACCACACAAGTATTTATAGTTCATCTCAAACACACACAGATATATATATATATATATATATATATATATAATTCGTATTATATAGATAAGAAATTTGAAGAAGTACCCTTTTTTATCTAACCAAATTCATTCCTGTTTTTGAATAAAAAAAAAAGTTTGAACATGAAATTTCTTTAATAATGGTTTTCATGAGTGTGAATTAAACTACAAATTCATTAGGGGTGGGTCATTTTTTTTAATAAAAGAAACGAATACAGCTCACAAAAAAAAAAAAGAAAAAAGAAAAAAACTTGAGATTCCATTAAAAGGATCCCTCAAGCCTCTATAAAAGCTCTAAATTCTGTTAAAACTATAGGAGGGGCAATTCACTTTATATTGTTCTTCAAATAATTCAAGTGTAAATTATAAACTAAATCCCTATGATAAACGAGTTAATTAGTTTTTTTTTTAAAAAAAAAACTATTTATTTAATGTCTTGACTATTGTTGACCATGTTTAATTTAATATTATTTAAAAAAATCTTTTTTTCTCGTTGATCTTTTCATAATATCTATTTTTTAAAAAAAGAAAAAATATATATTAGAAAAGAACATAAAATGAAAAAAAAACTAAATAGTTAGTTTTTTGAAACAGAAAACACTAATTAATTTGTTTTTCAAAACTAAAGGGACTAATTTATAATCTAGTCATAATTCAATGACTAGTTGTGACCTGACTTGCAGAATGCTTTTTAACCCAAGTCCAAAAATTTACAATTTAATCCGTTTGTACTCATATTATTTTTTTGTAGTTTGTGACCTTATAAATCAGGATAGAAGATGCAATTGGAATTTAGGATAAGAAATGCATTAAGGACCAAGTACAAAGGGAGACACAAGGGACAAATCAGAATCCAAATCAATACAATAAGATAAAAAGTCCAAAAAGAAAAGATAGGCCCGTTAATACAGAGTAAATTATAAATTAGTCCGTTTAGTTTTGAAAAAATATTCAAATAGTCCTTCTTGTTTCAAAAAATAATTAATTATTTCATTGATCAGCAATAATCATGGCTACTTTAATATAATTTTTTTCCAAATCTTTTTTATTTTTTCATTAATCTTTTCATATTTTTTTACTTATTTTTTATTTATTAAAAATAAATAAATTAATTAAAAATAAAAGGATCAAGTTATGAATAGATTTGAAAATATAAGAACTAATTAATTAGTTATTGAAGAGTAGCTATTTAATTTCTTTTAAAAAACTAAAGGGACTAATATATGATTTACTCAATAAATACAAGAAGAGAAAGACTATCCTTCCTCTTCGATGTTGAATCAATCCAACTTAAGCAAACTTTTTATTTATCTATTTACATAAGAAAAAAAAATTTCTTTAAATACCGGTAATAAATTTAGCTATATATAATTCCTTCACTCTATTTTTTTTAGTATTTTTTTTTAATAGGCTTCTAATGTTTTGTTGTGGTATATACTACTTGTATATGTAGTTGTATTTCAATCATTTTTAAAGCTAGTTTCTAAGATTATTTTATTTATTTATTTATTATTATTATTATTTTGCCATGAGGAGGTTTGTTGGGTTTGAACTACATAACGAGAATAGTCTTCTTTCATTAATTATATAATCATCAAATAAATTAAAATTACTAAAACTCAAACCTGTTTAAGTGAGAAAAAAATTATTAGATTCACAACTTTAGATTATACCTATTTGTTTTAAGGAGCAAGAATAATCTAACTAGTTGTTGTAAATTGAAACTAAATTCTTTCTTGATAAAATCTTAGGTAAGTCATCTACATCAATAGTCACATAAAATATTTCCTAATCTTATTGATATCTTTTCCAATTTTATTTTCCTAAAAATTTCAAGTAACTAGTGAGATCATCTTATTAAATGTATAAGATTTTTATTCAATACATGAGATTTCTCAAGCAAGATATTCGGTTAGCATAATAATAATTATTTTTTAAGAGTAATGTTTAATATTAAAAAAAAAACATGAGAAGAAAAAACTTCAAAAATAGGTATGAACAATTAGATTATGATATTAAAATGGAAATCAATTGTAGATCCTAGCTAGTAATCTAACGGCTCATATCTATTATTGGAGATTTTTCTTATCATGCATGTTTCTTTAATGTTTAGCATTAATTTTTTTAATAGCCATCCTTCTCATGCGTGGAGCATCATTATGATCCATCCATCAATATAGTTATACTCAACTTGATATTAATTTTAAATCTATCATTTACGTCCATGAAATCAGGTGCAGACTTTCAAACATTCAATAAAATATCTATTGATCTATTAAGGAAAATTCTTTCGTCCAGCCAACCATTACTATTATATATCATAGATATTTTACGAATGAATATATATATATATGTGTGTGTGGTAATTAAGCATCAGAAAATATTGTATAGTATATTATTATAAGTTAAATAAAGCCAAGTATGATCAATTCTTTATGCCAATTAAAATATTTCTGTGTGTTTTTTTTTTCCTTTTTTATCACTTGTAAGAGAAATTACCTCTTTTTTTTTCTTTTTTGTCCTTGTTGTTTATATGAGAGATAAAATTAAAAAAAAAATTAAGTCAATATGAAAATCTTCTTATTACTTTTAATGGATTTATATATATATATATATATATTATAAAGTGAGCTCACGAAATAATTACTATATATTCTTTCCGAGTATTATAAAATTTCTGTACCTATATATCTTTCTTTTTTTGTGTGTCATTATTAGGTAATACAATAGGCAAATCCTAGATTTGGCAAAGTTTTTTATTGGAATTATTCCACTTTACTCTAGGCATATAATTAATGTGGAAATATTTAATTTGGAGGGGGAAAAATAAATATGGCTGTAACATTAATTTTTGCAAGATTTTCTGAAATTCTCGGAGCGAAGGCCGCGGCTCTTCTCCTGTCTTTAAAGGCTCCACCTTTGAGGACTTACCATCTCACTTCTTCTTCTTGTTCATCTTCAACCCATAAAAAAAAAATGGTCTTTAATTTTCCTTGTCTGGGGTTTTTGATTCTGTGCACGGCCTTAATCACTACTAATTGTGTTTTAGGGTTTTCATCAAAAGGTTTACCTATCTCATCCTTCAATGAATCTTTCTTTCGTTTATATGGGAATAATCGTGTGATTTTCCTTGACAACGAAGGAAAATCAGTCCAAATTTCCCTCGATAAAAGTTCAGGTTCTGGTTTCTTGTCACAAGACATGTATCTCCACTCATATTTTAGTGCTTCCATCAAATTGCCAGGAAATTACACTGCTGGAGTTGTTGTCACTTTTTACACATCAAATGGGGATGAGTACAAAACTAACCACGATGAAATAGATTTTGAGTTCTTGGGTCATGTTAGAGGCAAACCTTGGTTGGTCCAAACCAATATTTATGGCAATGGAAGCACAAATAGGGGACGTGAAGAGAGGTACAATCTTTGGTTTGATCCTACTCAAGATTTCCATACTTATAGTATTCTTTGGACTAGTAAATGGATCGTTTTTTATGTGGATGAAGTTCCTATTAGAGTGGTTCAGAAGGTTGATGCCATGGGAGGAGATTTTCCCTCGAAGGCCATGACTTTGTTTGCTACAATATGGGATGGATCTGCTTGGGCAACAAGTGGAGGCAAACACAAGGTTAATTATAAATATGCTCCTTTCCTTGCTAAATATTCCAATTTTGTGTTATACGGATGCTCTCTCGATCCGATCCAAAAAGAATTAGCTGCTGAAAAGTGTGGCAGTGCCACAGATTTGAGTACTTTCAATGGTTTGACAACTGAAGAAAAGAGCAAAATGATGAAATTTAGGATGAAAAATTTGATTTATTCTTATTGCAATGATCGTTCTCGATATCCAATTCCATTGCCCGAGTGCATTGTAAAAAGGAAGCTCTAGCTAGTTGATTCATCATCAACTTTCCTTGTTGATTATGAACATTTAATATTTTTTATTATTAATGAGAATGGTAATTGATTTTTTTTCGCAATGGCAATCATATATTTTGTTATCACTTTAATTTTTGTAAGATGATAAAACAATCAATATCTTGAATCAAATTTGGTTCCAATAATCTTATTAAAACAGCAATTTATTAGTACTCCAATAAAAATTAATCCCCTAATTTATTATGTTTTTTCCTCTTTTACTATGTATTATTAGTGCTATTCAAAAACAATAAGTCTTTTGTTTATTTTGAAATTCTTCTATGTTGTTCAATTTTACGTTCGTTTATACGAATAACTTTATAGTTTTTTATTGATGAAACAAGATTAAAGTCTCAATGATGATAGTTTCTCATTTATAATTATATATTAAGAGAATACTATCTTTTATTGTGTAATTTAAACAGTTAGGATGTGTTTGATAACTTATTTAAGTAGCTTAAAAAAATAATTTATAATACTTAATAAAAAAAGTTTATTTGATAATCTAGACAATCTCATATTTAAAATTTAAATTTAATCAAAATTTACTAAATTGAAGTTTTTAGCTTAAAATTTTTTTATTAACACATTCAATTGAAAATTTTTAATTTTTTTTTTAAATATGACTATATAGCATTTATGTATGTTTATAACTCTAACTATAAAAACAAATAAGAGTACTGTTTGCCTACATGGAACTTAAATAACCAATTCGGTCTGATACGTCTTGAATGGAGTTGCTGCTGATAACAAGGACTCTTGTAGAAGGTCCACGGGTCCACACTTCATCAGGTATTGCCTTTTGAATTCCAATAAACAAGAAAAATGGTAAGAGACCGAATATTGAAAACATAATATTAATGGCCCTTATTCAGGAAAAATGAAAAGGTCGCTCTCCTTCTTCATTTTTATTTATTTATTTATACTAACAAATACATTTATGAATATAATTTTATTTTTTTAAAAAAAATTATGTTACAATTGCAAAGTTAAAATTATTATCTATATAGCTTTAATATGTTTAACAGCAATGCTTATTAAACAATATTATTATATTTAATATTTAATTTTTAGTAAATATCATATATCTTGTTAGTAACATATTTAGTACTTAATTTTTAATTTTATCGAATACCATTTTAATTTTCTACGCGGATATATTACAATACTCTATGTAATAGATATTCTTTGATAAAACGTATGACACAAGTATTTTCAGATATTTTCATGTTATGAAAAATTTGCTATTTGATTTTGTAGAAAAGCTTGACACTTCTCCAATTTTTACTAAAAAAACCAATTGTGAGGGAGCAAAAGGGGATCGATGGAAGGGAAAAGGCAGAGAGAATGTACTTGAAGGGGCATATGTTTAAAAAATTTGCCTAGATTCTTTACACAATTGCATGAGAAACGAATGACATATATAGTTTTTTTTGGTCTCTTTTCTCCTAAAATTCAAAAACAGTAAGTCTTTCGTTTATTTTGAAATTCTTTTATATACGTTTAATTTTACATTCGTTTACATTAATATCATGATAGTTTTCTATTGATGAAACAAGATTCAAATCTCAATGACGAGAGTTTCTCATTTATAATTATATACTAAGAAACTATTATTTTCTATTGTGTAATTCAAACAGTTAGTCTTCTATGCAGATATATTACAATACTCTATGTAATAGAAATTCTTTGATAAAACGTGTGACACAAGTATTTCTGAGATATTTTCATGTTATGAAAAATCTGGTATTTGATTTCATAGAAAAGCTTGACACTTCTCCAATTTTCATTCAAAAAACCAATTGTGAGGGAGCAAATGGGGATCGATCGAAGGCAAAAGGCAGAGAGAATGTACCTGAAGGAGCACATGTTTAAAAAATTTGCCTAGATTCTTTACACAATTGCATGAGAAACAAATGATATATATAGTTTCCCTTGGTCTCTTTTCTCTAGCTTTATTTTGCTTTGAGCTCTATCAAAATGATCATGCCTTATCAAAACAAACACATTTCAGCTAACAAAAAAAATAGTAATATTTGCAAACTATAATTATTTTTTCTTGTTATTAAACATACAAGACAAATTGATATAAAATAATACATCAAAACATCATGTATGTTATTTGTTTAATTAATTATTTGCTTCTAATTACTCATATATATTCGGTGAAAATATATATGTATTTCACTGATAGATATAATTAATAACACCAACATGCTAGCTAGTAATTAATATAAGAAAAATAATTAATTAAAGAGCTATTATTGATCATGATCAACACCTACTTGCTATCCTCAACCTCGAAGAACTTTCTCTACGACCCTCGGCAACAAGTGCTGCTCGAGCTGATGAGACTCCTTTAGGGGCTAACAACTCATCAAAGGTGGAGCAATCTGTCCAATCCTTAAGCAAATTCTCTTGATCCCAAGTATCTGGTACCATAACCCTACCAGCTACCTCTTCTCTATGCCTCTTTAATCTTTCACGTCCACAATCTCTATGCACCAACACTTGATGATCTTCAGCCTCTTTAGCATTTCCATGGCGATGCACTACTTCTTTAGGAGAAACTGATGAGCTTGTTGCTTGATCAGAGGAAGATGTTGTAATATTTTGGCTGGTGGATCCAAGAGAAACAAGATTAATGGTGGGTTCTTCTTCTTTCTTGGATGAGAAATATTGGGCACCTAATTCCATCTTATCAATGGTGTGATGACACAGAGAGATTGCAAGATTATATAAAAAGAGGATAGGTTAATTTGTGTGAGAAAAGTAATGGAAGCGAAGAGAGAAGAGAGTGGTAGAGCTAGAATAATGAATGGGGAAGCAAGATTACACGTCACAAGTGTTTGTTTTGTATGGTGCATGGCATCTCTACGTTTCAAAGTTTATGTCAGAGTGAAATTTGTGGTTTTAGTTAACATAGAAAGAGATCTTGAAAGAGTAGTTGAGTTTTTATTTTCATTTTCATTAATTTTTTCTGGTAAATTTCAATTTGCCAGCTGACTGAAGTTTATGTAATGTCTCAATTTCGCCTAAATTCGTTGGTTTTATCAATTAGCTGCTATATCTTTCATTTTTGTTTCAATCAACCTAACGTCTTTGATTTTTTCTTCAATCATTTCCACCATCCATTGTTAAAATATTATCTCATTTAAAAATTTAAGTCTAATAGGTGAGATCCTGGGATATGATTTATAATATTTGCTAACGATCATTTTCGTCAAGAATAATGAAGAATAATTAAGATTTTTACAATAATATTTGATGAAAATTTGGATAAAATGTGTTGTTGTTATTAAAAATTTAAGCTATTAAGTGAGACATCATAATCTGATTTATATTATTTTTTAATATCCATTTTTGTCAAGAATAATGAAGAATAATTAAGATTTTTAATAACAATATTTAATGAAAATTTGGATAAAATGTGTTGTTGTTATTAAAAGTTTAAGCTATTAGGCGAGGCTCGGGATAATATTTATATTATTCTTTAACATCCATTTTCGTCAAGAATAATTAAGATTTTTATAACAGTATTTGATGAAAATTTGAATAAAATGTGTATGTATAATATGCTAGTGAAAGAGTACTTTAGGGTAGATAATAACATTAATGGTATGTGGTTGCTGTTGTTGTTACTATTTTTTTCAAACATATATATTTCTTTTTATCCTAATATTATTATTTTATTATCAATTGATTGGAAGATTGTATTGATGAAAAATCCTTCTTTTTTTTTTTTTAATCATATTTGTTTCACTAAAAAAATTTCTTTCTTTGATATTTATTTATTTATTTTAGTTTGTTCATTCTTATTTTTTGGGTTATGTTGAGATATTCCATAAATATGAAAGATGAAAATTAAAATTTATACGTCTTTTCCATTACTATTTGTAGTAAAAATTAACAAAAATGGAGAATACAACAAATATAAAAGATAAGGAATCCGAAAGAAATAAAAATTTTTAAATGAAATTGATATAACATATAAAATCTAACGAGATAAATTGAAGGATAAATATATTTATCTGTTTTATATAATACTTAGAATCTACCATCTGTCCTTAAATTTTTAATTATATCACATCTATTTTTGAAAATTTTTAAAATGTTTAATCTGTTATTCCAATCAAATTTATCGATCATGAAATTCTTTTAGACTAAAATGTCTTTTACTAAAAATACAAATCTTAAAATCACGTGACCTTGATATTCTATTTTTGAAGTTTTTAGAATTTTATTTTATTTTGCATTTCAATCAAAGGTATTTTAGTAAAAAAAATTAATTGTCTGAAAAAATTAATTAGAAGGATAGATTGATCATTTGAAGTATTTTGAAGGAAAAATAAAATGCAATTAGAAATGTAGGAATATATAAAAGATTTTGAATATTATACAAAAATAGATATATTTACCTCAAATTAAAATTTACCTCTTTTTTTTTTTTTTTTTTTTTTTTTGGTGTGTAGGTTTGTATAATTTGGGTGGGGCTGATTGAATTGATTGTGAGCATGAGGTGGACAAGGATTGAGCACACAAGAATCGTTTTTTGGAGACAAAGATGTGGACTTGTGTGACGCAAAATGTTAGATATTTTTTGTCACATAAGTGACAAATTATACGAAGTTATCATATGTTTCTGAAAATTGAAATAAGGTTTTTATTATTTAAAAGAAGCTTCGAAAATATTGTGGGTAATTTTCATGGGCCGAGTCAGTGACTCCACAAACCGGCCGGAGTTCAAGATATTTTGATTTGATTTGGATTTATTCCATTTTAAGCCCTTCCCATTAAGAGTTGGGCTGCAGCCCATTTCTACATTTATATGACTTCTTTTTTTTTTTTTTCAATTGTACATATAAAAATAAAACTATATAAAATTATATAAAATTACAGAACCAGACATAAAAAAAAGGAAAAAGAAACCTTTACGTTAAATCGCAGAAGCAGACATAAACTATATAAAATTACACTTTTCTTGACACATCTGATTATATTGAAAGAAAAAAAAAAAAAAAAAGAGCCAAGCATAATTAGAGAACATCACATGCTTCCAATATTTACAAAAAAACAGTCATGGCCAATCAATGGAATTACTCAAGGATTTTATGTCATCATGCATATAAGGATTAGGATTCTGAAAACATGAAGCTCTCTTCTACCCAATGATGATCAAATGTTGGAAATTAAACAATAAAAAAGATAAACAAATCGATTATTTAAGCAATCAACAGCTACTTAATTTCTACTCTCAATCGTTGATGAGAAGCAGCACTGCTGCAGGCTCTACGTCCCTCAGCAATGAGTGCTTCACGAGCTGATGTAATTCCATTTGGGGCTAACAAGTTATCAAATGGAGAGTAATCAATCCAATCTGTAAGCAACTTCTCTTGACCCCATATTTCTGGTATCATCACCTTTCCACTCACTTCTTCTCTATGCCTCTTTAGCCTCTCACGTCCAGTAGAACTACTGCTTTCTCTGTGCAGTAATTTCAAGGCCTCAGCTTGCTCTTTCACTTCACTACTAACATTTTCTAGTCTAGGACAAGGAGGCAAACGTTGATGTTGTTCACTCATTGAAGAAGAACATGTTTGCGCCTTGTTCATGATCTCTGAGTTTTCCGGCCTAGATGGCGACTTGGGTTGCGAAGAAAATGCAAGGCTTCGGCTGGTGGGTTGTTGTTTCATAGATGAGAAATGTTTGTCCTCCATTTTAGGGTCTGCTAAGCTAGGGAGAGATTGCTAGATTTTGATGAGGCTTAGTTTTATAAAATCTTGATTGTGTGTGAAAGAAAGAAAGGATGGGGAAGCTAGTGATAATACAAGAAACAAGTGTGAGGTTTTTTTGTATGGTTTGTGACAACCCTACGTCTCATCATTCATGCTTGTTGTTGGGGTCAGATTTGTGTGGTTTACGTTGTCAATAGAAAGGGAGATTTGAATAGGATTTGGGTATCCATCTTCCATTTTAGGGTTTTTTTTTTTCTAATTATTTATATATTTATGGATGGTTGAAAGTGGCCAACATGGCTGTGCAATGGCTAGATTTGGTCCAAGTGGGTTGGTTGATTGGAATAGGGAGCAAATTGAGGTGGAAGAGTGAGACACAGAATTTGATTTTCTTGGAAGCAAACATGTGGATGAGCATAAAGACAGAATAAGATCACAGAAATTGATTTCTCAAGGCAAAGATTTTAAGATACGTATAAAACCAAAATGAGATTTTTTTTTTTTTTTTTTTGAGTCACATACTTAATGCTAAAGTTTCAAAAAGTTTAATATCTTAATCTTATTTATTTATTTATTTATTTTGATAATGATTTAAATTTAATCTCTTAATCTAATGATAAAATTATTGAAAAAGTGAAACTAGGATAAGTTACATGAAGGCAAGAATTCTTATAATAATCAGATCGTAAGTGGCATCTCACTATAATTATTATATCACTCAAAAGGCATAGGTTAGTATCATATTGGTATACCAAGAATTCTATATTTTACAAAGGAATTGGAGGCTTTCTACACACACCACAAATCAATACAATTATAGAAATCAAAGCTTAAGCCAGTTTAGAGGAAAAAGAAAGGACAAAATTGATAACAAAATCAAATTTAGAGGACGGGATTCAATTTAACTTCAAATTTGTTAAATTAAATTTAACTCGTATTGTGGATTATGAAACAACTAATTGGTTATATTCTGAACTTTTGGTTAACAGGGAAAAAAAATCTCACTTTTTTTTAATTCTAATTTGAACCCCAAACTTTTTTTTTTTCCCGCAATCAAGAACTTTTATCAATCTCAAACGACATTGAATAAGGTGAAGAAACGAAAACTATTAAAACATCAACACTATGTTGAGAAAGACACTTCTAGATACATGGACCATTAAAACATGTTTTCTCTAGAAATGTGATAATTATCCAATAGCTTGTGGATTGTGGAACATTTATTCATGAAATGTGATAATAATTCAAGAAGAAGATGCATCAATGTTGACAATCACATTAAACAAATATATTATTTAAAATTGAGATATTTTTAGAACAAAATTATATCCAAAATGGATCTCTGGTATTCAAGTCAACTCTAGCTAGAGGTTTTGAGGAGAAGATATTACAAACGAACAGGAAAACTAAGAGCAGCAGAATATACAATCAATATAACTAAATAAACGAGCAAAACATGTCAGATTCGAGGGAAGAGAGAGCGGCCTTTCTTCCTCAAAAACTCAGGAATCTCCACAGAGCCACCGTCAGCATAAGATGGACGTCTATTTGTTCCAAGAGAAACATCACCATGAGCACGCTGAGTTCCCTGCATTTTTTACCGATCAAAAGGATATAAACACATGAAATTTATCATGAAAATATGGGCATCGAGGACATACCTTCGCTTCGACTTCCTCGCGACGATTGAATCCAGTGGCAATCAGGGTTATGCTAACCTAAATGACAAAAAGACACCACATCTTTGAGCAATTAAAGCACAATCAGTAAATACTGAGAGAGAGAGAGAGAGAGACTTATCAATTGATCAAACTTAAAGCTCATGCAGCAAGGAATGATAATTATAATACCCTCATGCGTCAGAACTCAACCTCATAGAACTTCAGTTTCCACACTATTGGAACAGAAGAAAGATCACATGCTTAGCAATTTCAGATGCCGTGTTTGTTAATACAATTATACCAACTCGATTTGAATTTTGTTGTTTACCAATTGTCAATGCTTACCTTAAAAGCAAAAGCACCATATAATCTTCTGACATACAAGGGAAGGGACTAGGATCGGTAAACATAATGGTTCTCTAGTAAACCAAAAGTTCATTTATATCACTAACTTGGAAGGGAATTTATAAGATTAAAATTTGAAGTTCAAAAAGAAAAAAAAAGAGATTATAATTCGACTTTTCCTTGTCTTCTTTGTATTCTGTTTTATTTTCTTTTATTTGGAAAAAAAAATTCCGTAAATAAATGTTACCAGAATAATCACTAGTGAATACGCTTTGCAGTTATTACTCTGTTGCCTACTTACTTGACCAGTTAGTGATGGATCGATCACTGCTCCAAATATTAGGTTTGCAGTTGGATCCACAAGGTCATATATAACCTCTGCTGCAGCATTCACCTTCAAGAAATATGACACAAGAATTGAAGTAAAAGTTAGCATAGAAGCTACATGACAACCATTCATAGAGAATAATAAAACAGCGATAAAAACCACAATTACAGGCATGAATAAGATTCAGAAATGAATAAAATATCTTCTTACTGCAGAAAATTACACAGCCACATGACAGGGTAATAGGGTAAATAATGGGTGCAGAGAGCAATGTAGCTACATATTAACCCAATTTGTTAAAACATTTGGCATAAATAATTGTGATTTCGACATTTTCTCCTGTAGATTGGAAAGTCAAGCAGAGAATGTGCACGCTTGAATGTATAGAGAGATTCCACAAGGACCACTTGCAAAATCATGAATCATAGGAAAAATGAGTGGCAGCCCAAATCAATGATGCTTGCATTCCAGTGGGACTGATACTATCTATTCCTTAATACTCCTGAAAAATACTACTAAAATGAGCAGAAGATAAATAGTAGTGGAATTGAGTTCAGCCGGTATACTCTGGAGAGAGGCTCACCTCAAACAAAGTTAGATCGGTTCCACCAGTTATATTCCACACAATCCCAGTGGCTCTTTCAATTCCAATATCTAACAAAGGTGATTGGATGGCGTTCAATGCAGCGTCTCTTGCCCTCGTCTTCCCTGCTAATCATAAGGAAAAGGAATTATTACAGCTAGAAAATTAAACATGTGATCATGATGCATTAAACAGTTTTGTGCAGGAAAAAATGATGGGAACACTGAAATTGAGTATTATATCATGAATGAGGCAGGCATTAAGAGAACAAAATGGCATGCACCACAACAACTCTACAAATTAATAAAACAAACGCATGTGGTGACATAACAATGCTTTTCTCTTCTTTCTACTGTTTTAAAGAATTTGGCTGCAAAGAAATTCAGAAGGTGATAGCTGCAAGGGAAATACAAGGAATGAAAACAAATAGAAACTAACATTCATGCATAAGCAAAATATATTTTTGGGGTTTCAGTAAAATGAAGAATGGGGCATGGACAATTCGAAAACATACAATGTTTAGGATAGGCTTCTTTATATCTCTTCAGAAAGATAGAAGGCTGGTTTCCATAGGAGACAGACGGACTTCTTTAAGATCGATAGAAGATGGTTAATGAGACGTAAGGACATTCCTGAGTGGTCCAAGCCTAGGTGACTCATATTATTGTACGCCTTGCCTAGGTCATTCCAGAGATAATACGAAACTTAATTTTAAAGAGTCGGATTATAATTTAAACAGCAAATTCAAATTATTCTCCTGCCACTTCTCATCAACAAGAACAGTAACATTAAGCCACAAGGCAACTCCTCTGTAACATCATCAGGTGCTTATCTACCCTCCCAAAAAGAGGGTTAGAAACATTTTTAGGCTAATCTCTAATCAAAAGAGCCTCTACTAGTGCTAGACAAAAGGAACTATAATATAAAGGATGTACAGAAACTTGCTCACAGCTCTCAAAGTATAACCAACACAATCTATACTAAATCCCTTGTGAGGCATGGCCTCTAAAACCATTTAACATTTAACTCCATTGGGCATTGCATCAGGATCTCATCCAATGTAGTCCATAAATAGCTAAAACTAAAAATATTTGAAAATAACAAGTTCTGTCATTGGGCTCTTTTACTTACCGGTTGCAGTTCCTATTCCCAAAAGAGAAGAACCTGCATCTTTCATAATAGCTCGAACATCAGCAAAATCTACATTAACCAGTCCTGGCACCTGCCGAAGAAAATTTCACACCATTAAGAGAGGAATAAGCAAAAACACTGCTGGATATGGTTGACAAAGGAAAGGAATAGAAGACAGAAGACAGAGGCCAATAGAGAGATGGGATAAGCCCAAAAATCCTTATCAGATGACTGTAGCAACCTGGAAAATGCTTTTTCTTCTTTTGGGGGATTTGATAAGTAAGAAGTATCTGGATGCAAATTCAAGAAAATGATGCTAGCATTTTCATATATAAAGGGGAACATAAGGATCCAGGTGATGAAGACAACAAATTAACCAGAACAAGCATTCACTTCCAGATATAATACACCACACACAGACCCACTGACCCACATACATGGAATTTGCATATGCAAGTGAGCACTTGCATCCCAATACAACTCTAGAAACATAGGCACCTACTTCCATTAGCATAATATATGAAGATCATGCTAATACATTTCTGGTAACCGTAAGAAGAGATGCAATCACCAATCAAGAACGCATTTAAACACATTATCGACAATGACAAACCATGAAACCAAAAACAAAGGGTGTTGACCATCAAAGCGATAAAAAAATTATGAAGATTTTAAGACAGTGTTGACAGAGTAGAACTGACCCCCAAAGCGAGCGTGTCAGGTTCAAATCCCCCACTTGGCGAGAATTCTACATTTTTTTATTTTTTTATTATTATTTTTTTGGTGGTGGAGGGGGGATCAAAAGGAGAGAGAAAAAACTACAAATGTTAGTTCAGAAAAAAAAGGTCTTTATATTTACAAAATAAGGGCTTTAGCATTGCTTGTACTGATTGATCTGCAAAACAGTACATAAATAGTGGATTGTCCATCATTTACAACGTCATGGACACGGAGTATGCATGTTAGCACATAAACACCACACATGACTGAGAATTAATTTTAACATACCAGAAAAGAAATGATATGAAGCCAAAGATCCAAACTAACTTAACAGTACTCTTTACTCATTCCATACCGTAATGATGTCAGAGATTCCACGAACACCTTGTCGAAGTATATCATCAGCCAAGTTAAATGCCTCTGTCACTGGGGTTGATTGAGAAACTGCAGTCAGCAACTTGTCATTAGGAATAACAATTAATGTGTCAACATTGTTTCTCAGAGCAGCAATTCCTTCCTGAGCTTGAACAGCACGTCTTCGGCCCTCAAAGGAGAATGGTGTTGTAACAATGCCAACAGTCAATATTCCCATGGACTTTGCAACACCAGCAATCACTGGTGCCCCACCAGTGCCAGTTCCTCCACCCATTCCAGCCTACAGATTTAAGGCATCAGTGAGATATCATAACAAAATGAAAACGAGTAGTAACTATCAGGAAAAATTGAGATCTATTTCTAAGACTTACCAAGAACTACATGGAGACAAACAATATAAAGGGAATCCTCAATCGAAAATAGTGGATGTACAACAACAGTTCTGGCCTGATTTAAAATGAGATAAAGCTATGTTCTGTGCTTTGAACTTGTAATTCTGCACTTCCCTCAACAACATGAGATAAGGCATTGACAACATTTGACTAAAGTTGAACTCTCATATCTATTGGCATTACTATTTAACTAGACTTCAGCCAGAATCAATGGGAAAGCCTTATAAGAAGTTCACCATTGCAGTCAGCAAAACAAGTATTTACCTCCTACAAGACCCCAGATTTAGTGTCAAATTGAAATTATTGTGGAACCTGAGCTTTCATTTTATTTGCAAGAAAGGCCTCTAGTTTTTAATTATTGGCAGATCTAAATTACTCCAAGGAAAGGAGTTTAATGTGTTAAGGTCTACTTTGAATGTACAAAAACCAACTGACCAAATCTATTCACGGCACATAGGCATATACAAGCACATGCCACATTCAAACACACAAACGTGTGCCTTTGATCTCAATACTCTACTGAAGTTGCGCTAAACTAATTTATTCTTCTTTTCAAAAAGATGATAGAAAGGGAGTTCTATATCTCCAGATCTACTTTCATTCTACCAATTCTTTTAAGTAAATAACATATAGGAAAAGAACTAGGGCATACTGTTATGAAGACCATGTCTGCACCATAAAGTGCCTCCTCTATTACTGTTTTGCTTTCAGTGGCAGCGTTCATCCCTACATCTGGGTTTCCACCAGCACCCAGACCTCTAGTTAGCTCTTTGCCAACTTGCAAACGGTTCTCTGGGAGCACTGGTGACATCTTCATTGCCTGAATGTCTGTATTCACTATCCAAAACTCCACCCCTGTCAGAGAACTCTCAATCATTCTGTTAACAGCGTTAGACCCACCACCTCCGACACCAATAACCTTGATCCTGGCTTCATTGTGGTTGCTCATAAAAGAGGAATCCCCTGAGCTCTCAGTGACGCTTCCTCCAGATTTCTCCTTTCTAAGACTAGAGTATGCATTCGCATCACTTCTGAGCATCGAAACTTCAGGGTGTAAATCCAGGAAAGAGTCTTTGCTGTGATTTGGGCTGATATTGTGAGAGTTAACCGAACACCTAACTTGCGGAATACTGAAGAGATTTCTTTCACAAGCGCCCCATGAAGCATTCTTCTTGTCAAACCTCTTGAGTGCAATTATTCTACCAAATCGGTTTTCTGTTGAAATCCTTCGTCCCACTGAAATTTGAGTACCAGATGGCGTAAAAGGCGGAGGAACACAAGTTGCCATACTAGAAGGGGAAAAAATAAATTCTTTGAATTATGATCCAGTACACAAGTAGCTTAGAACCCAAGCTGCCCAAATTGAACTGTGCTGCTTACTTTCATTCTTCCTTGACCTGGTCATAAGTCACAACAAGTTAAACCATCGAGATGCACACAGAAAACACTTGCATTAACAGGAAAAGATTTGAACTTTAAATAATTCTACTTGGGTTAAGAAAACAAAACAATTGAAAAAAACAAATCAAGGATCCCATATACCAACCCCACCCCACATTTCACACACAAAACAACAAATACTTTCCAACTCCTTTTTTTATCTGAACTAAACATACAAGAAATTGGTAACAAAACACCAATAATCAACCAATTAAGCTATCATACAAGCCTGGAATAACCAAGTAAGAAACAGAAAAAAAAAAAAAAAAAAACCCACCTTTAAAACCCTAAACCACCCATTGCCACATCGAATATCAGGAAAAAAAATGGAAAAATGACATCTGGGCAGAAGTGAAACTACATTTTAAGAAAAAACTTGAAACATAAAACAAACCCACAAATAGAATGACCCAAAATCACCAATCCGAGCATGGAACTGAATAAATAGAAGCAAAAAGAAAAGGAAAAAGCAAGGCAAAGTCAGTTCGTTACCTGCAAATGACGACAATTACGGAATTAGCGAGGTTTATTATGTGACTGAGATGATAATGAGCAGAAAAAGATTTTAGCAACTGAATGGGAGAGTGTGGCTTTTAGTTGTGCTGTTGAGCTTTTTGTCTTGTCAGTTGTCTTCGGACTGAAAAGACTTGCCCAAGTCCTGTAAAAAATCTGAGCACTCTGTAACTAACTGGGCTAAAATTTAGGCTGCATGGTTGCAGCTAGAGATAGAGGCTACAGCCAGCCATGCCTGTGATTAGATTATGGGCTCACTTTCTGAAAGGTGCTTGGGCCTCTACGGCCCAAGTCAATTCTGTCTGACCACTGACCGGATGTTTAATAAAAAAGCGGCATGGTGACTTTGTGCCCGTTTAAGAAAATTAAAATAAATATTGTCTTTTTTGTTTTTTTGCTTTCAAAGAGTGCAATGTGATTGAGTTTTGTTAGATTTGCATGGTCGAAAATGAAACCGAACCTCACTTTTATTTATTTATACAAGAGTATCATTAAATTCGAATTTTCGGAACTTTATTCGCCTTATTTATATAAGAGTTTTATTGAACTATTAGCTTTTTTTTATTTTTATTTTTATTTATAATAATTTTTTCACTTCATTAGATGTATTTTATCACAGAATAAGGATCTTTTCAAAAATAAAAAATTATTAAGATTCAAGTATATTATAATGGAGTTTTCGACAATCTTAAATCTCTTCTCATTTTTTGCTGAATTTTGGACTTAAAAACTTTTAAAGTCTTATCTCAAAATAGAAATTCAAAGATTGTGCCATTAGGCATACAATTATTTTTTCTTTAATCCTTTAAGATATCCCAAGCCTAAAAATTTAGACTAATTCCTTATTATTTTGTTAAGCACACAAGATGGAGATAGCTACCTAAAATATTTTTACATATACAAATATTTGAATTTAAAATTATTTATTTAAGAGACTAGAGCTGTTTCTACTTAAAAAGCCCATCAATCACACAGCAAAACTGAGTGAAAAAAAAATATATATTTGTAGGGTGACACAAGGAATTATTCAGTATAATAAAAACTATACACCTTCTCACAAAAATATTGAACCCATGAATTATTTTTATAATAGATTTTATGTTTTTGCGAAAGAGTGAAGTACAGATCATATAGGTCAAGATAGTTGGACTTTATTCATTATGAGGTTTCCTTTTTTAATTTCATTGCCTAACAATGCAAGGAAATTATTCAGTATGCCGAGAATTTACCCTTTCTTTTAATAAAAATATGGAATTCATGAGTTATTTTCGTGGTAAATCTCATGTTTAATTTTATGAGAAAGTCGAGTACAACTTCTAGCATACTTAAGAATTTCTCAATTGCTATTTCTATTCCTTTCTTTGTTCGTCATGGGAATAAACTTCATTCGAGATCAATTTCGTATCGTTCCTTTTATTTTCTCATCACTATGCTGATCTTTCTGTGCTCCACCATATACCAAGAAACAAGTGTTTCCTTGGGATGGAATTTTTTGTCCGAAATGGATTTCCCAGCACACTAATACTTAAGTCTGATGCATCTTAAAATCAGGAATGGTGCTTGCACAAATGTTATAAAAGAAAGAAATATAGTGATTGATGCAGTGTCTAGATCTACGCGCATTCAGTTTACATGAAATGCTCATAAACATGTCCATGCACACATCTTGCTCTAAAAAAGTAGCCTTTTTAACCTACTCGCAAGAAATTTACACCCATTTTTTTGAATGTGTATACAAGGATGCTGCATGATCATCAATGATACGAAATCTCAAGTTCCCTAGAGACTGGAAAGTTAGCTACCTTCCAAAGATGAAAAAAAAAACATGGTTTCTTTCTTGCTTTCTGTACAGTGTTTTATAGCAGTTATGCAGGAATTTCACAATATGCAACAAGAGAATTGACCATTTTCGCGCAGTCCCTCCCCTCAACCCCCTCTTCTCCATTACAGCAACAAATGAACTTGTGTTCTTTGTTACAAGCAGCCAGAATATAAGAAGGAAGAAAAAAGATGGGCCAATGGACTGGCTCCCATAGTCATTCACTCTTAACAGCCTGATAAATGTCGCGAACAAATGTGAAGGATGCGCGGAAACCGATCGTACTGATCATCAAGAAAAATGCATAGCACATGCAAGCATTATAACCAAAGAAGAAGGATAGCTGCATAAAACCACTCATGCTCGACCTGGAACAGAAGTAGATGCCGTAGCTAACATAAAAATGGCCACTGAGCCCCCACACAACAGAGATCTGCATCAAACCAAAAAATAAGTGATGAACATACTAGATTGGCATGGTTGCAGCTAGAGATAGAGGCTAGAGCTAGCCCACCCTGTGATTAGATAACGGGCTCCCTTTCTGAAAGGTGCTATGGCTCAAGTCATTTCTGCCTGACCACTGACCAGATGTCTAACAAAAAAGGGGCATGGTGACTTTGTACCTATTTAAGAAAATTAAAGTAATATTTTTTTTTATATAAAGAGTGTGAAGTGATTCAACTTCATTAGAGTTGTATTGTTGAAAATGGAATTCGAACTTGATAACTCACTCTTTCTATCGATATAAGAGCATCATTGAACTCGAATTTTCAATATTTCTTTATTTATGTAAAAATACAATTAAACTATTAGCATATTGATTTTTTTTTATTTTTACTAAATCTCATCTTACTTTTCTTAAATTTTGAACTTAAGATTTTCAAATAAAACTTAAAATCTTACGTACCTCGAAGTAGAAATTCAAAATCCCAACTTGCTAGATCGTGCCATTACGTATACAATCATTTGAAACAGTGATATCTACCTTTTAGATTTGCTAGCCTTGGATGGCTGAGTAATGAGGAAGTGAAATGCTTCAAAAAGAAACTGTAATAAAATATCAAGGTACAGACAATAACTAAACTAATGTTTTAGGAGGGTTTGCTAGGCCCCTTGCTGATCCCTTCTCTCCTTTCCGGCCCTTTCTCCCATCATCCTTGCCATAGTCCCACTTGATCGGCCATGAAGTTGCTAACATCTCCATTGCCAATTTACCACGTCGATCTAAACCAGTAATAATAAAAAGATACATTGATTAAGCAAATAAAAGAAAAATAGACAACTTAGGATTAGGGAATTATGGTGCTGGAATTGTAAATTTTTAAGAGCTTGAAAAGAGAGAACCTGCAATTCAAATATATCCATACGTCACTTTGGTTGCAGAGAGGAAGGGATGACTTACCAATGGGACAAAGGGACGAAGCATTCGAATCAGTGTCTGCAGGGACTTCTTGGGGCAGACAGTAGATGGACCCCAGATTTTAGGGCACCATGGGAAGAAGAATTATTTGGAAATTGGAAATTGAATGAGGCTTCGTTGAAAAAGCAATTAGACGCGACCCTCCAGTCATACCAAATTAACAAATGTTCTAGGAACAACATCTGGCAGGCGTAGAATCTCCTTATTGCACCGTAGGAGAAACGAAGCTCTCGGGTTCCAGATTCAGTTATCAAATGACATTCACATTCACATCCAATATCTACAGTCCAGCGAGGCTCGACGCTGCAAAAAGCAAAACCTAATAACTCCTGATCAGTGGCACTGTAGCAATGCGGTTTGATTTTTACTGATGAAGATCCTGCTTTGCTTTTATAGCTGAACCATTTTGGGACTCTATCTCCTGGGACGCTCAATCTAAATCCAATTGGCTCACCAGAATATTCCTGCAAGCATCATGGACAGAGAAAGATACACCATTATCGTGATTTTCACAGAGAAGAGAAAGAGGAATGAGATAGCTTAACTTATAAGATCATGGTTCAAATCTCATCTCCTATAATGCGTAAAACTCCCTTCCTCCATCTATATGGGCCACCAATGAATATATAGGTCCCGTTTCAACTAGAAATCACACTAATCCGGTTTGACTTGTACTCGGAAGACAATGTCTTCAAGTTTGTTGTCATTAAAAAAATAAGAGAGGGGGGGGGGGGGGGAGAGAGAGAGAGAGAGACCTGTTTGGATAGAGATGTTGCCATGCGTTGAATTCTCAACTTGGCACCAGCTATAATTGTTAACCGAGCGTCCTCACACAAATTCAAGCAATTAGTAAAATCGAAATCCTCGGAATCAACTTCATAGTCATCATTCTCAGCTTCTGTGAATATGCTTGCTACTGATTCTAGAGAGCTGCATCCCTTTGCATGTAAGCTCTGTAGACTTGATGGAAGCTCTGGTAAACACCGAAGCCTTTCACAGTAAACCAAGTAAAGTGTCTTCAGGTCAGAAAGTTGTTTAATGCTTACAGGTACTCTATCGATATTTGTGTACGATAAATCCAGCTTTCTCAATGAAACCAAAGAGCCAATGCTGTCGGGAACCATTGCTAGCTTTGAGCAACCATTAAGATTAAGCTTTTTGAGACATTTCAACTGTCCAATACTGCTTGGTAGACTCTCAAGATTGCTACAAACATGTATATCTAATTCAACAAGTTGAAAGAGATGCCCAATTTCTGCGCACAAAGTACGAAGACTATCACAATATCTAAGATAGAGTCTAGTAAGCTTCGTGCAATTTTTGATTGAGGTGGGAACCTTATCCAAACTTATACAGGAACTCAGATCTAGAACCACAATATTTGGGACTGCAGACAAGTCTAGAATTCTGAGTTCTTCACAGCCAGCTAGATTTAGAATCTCAAGATTAGGGGCTTTAGACAAGACTTCATTAATTGTGGTCAGCTTGCTGGACCCAGTGACTTCCAACTGCTTCAAATTCATAAGAGGCTGTAAACAATAAGACAATAAATAATCATAAGCATTTTTTTAGAATTCACAAAAGCCCTTACATTATATTAAAAGGGATGTTGAGTCATACCGAAACTTCATTCCAAAGTTCAAGATTACTGCTATTCCGCATTTGGAGTTGAACTAGATTTGTTGGACAAAACTTTGATGGCATAGATTCTAAAGGGCAACAATCCCAACGAAGAATTCTTAGCCTTTTCGAAAGAAATTCAAGGCCTTTAGGAAAAAGTAATTCGCTTTCTCGTCTAGAGATTTCATAATCACCCATTTCAGGAAAGTAGAATTCAACCAATCTAAGATTGCACATCTGTTTGAAGACTCTAGGACTCAACTTCATCTCTTGAATTTTCGACATGTCTAGGGATATGGCTTGAACTGTTTCAGTTCCCTGATAACCAAAAACAAATAATAAATCAGCATGCGAATTATAAAGAACTTACTGAAAAGAAAAGAAAAATTCAGAGATTTGTAAGATAATAAGAACCTATAAACAACTTTTCACAATGTTGAATCATCCCTTACATACCTTATAATGTGTTAACACGTGATCAATATCCTCAGGAATCCACAACCTGCTACGTTTTCTAGGATCGTCAAAGTTTTCTTGATGAACAATATCTTGCCCAAGTTGTTGCAGCAAATCATGCATCCATATCTCGTTGTTGGAGATATTTAGGAGGCACATATCAATCAAACGGTCTATTCCTCTTTCTGCGTCAAAACCGCATTGATCGAGTGTGTATTGGACCAAATCTCTATTGCATTTTCTAAAGAAACATGCAATATCAAGAAATATTCTCTTTTGTTTCCAATCCAATCCATCATAACTCATCATCAAAATTTTCTGAATTTCCGGGTCAAGACTACTTCCTTTAAGATTTGCCAGCATACTTTCCCATTCTTTTATGTTCTTGTTGTATAGATTGGAACCTAAAACTTTTAGAGCCAATGGATTTCCCTTTGTATAGCTCACTGCCCTTTCTGATAGCTTCTTAAACCCTTCTCCGCATTGATCATTTCCTTTAAAGGCATGCAATTTGAAGAGTTGGGAAGCTTCCCTGTAACCTAATTCTTGAACCTTGTATGTTTTGTGATCACACTGTTGATTTTCAACCACTTGATAATCTCTACTTGTCAAAATAATTCTACTTCCTCCGCCGAGTAAACCATCCTGTACTACTGCTTCTATTTGCTCACAGCTACTCACATCATCAAGAACGATGAGAACTTTTTTCCTCTGAAGCATTCGTTGAATGCTAGAGTCTAACGGTACTTTAGTACTGAGTAGTTTAAAATCTGGTTTCTCTAATACCTCACGAATAATTTCCTGTAACACGTGACCTAGTCCATGCCTATGTGATTCCTCCCTGACATTTCTAAGAAAGCAAGAACCTTCAAATTGAGGAGCGATTCGACCATATATAGCTTCGGCAATTGTTGTCTTGCCTATACCAGCCATCCCCCAAAGTCCCAAAACTAGCACACCAGCTGATCCAATGCGTAATAGCGATTCAACCTCATTGATGCGTGAATCGATGCCGACCAAGCGTTTTGCATCGGTTGAGGGTGAAACCAATGAGGGCATCTGATGTAGCTTCTTTTGAATGTCATCAACAATTGTGTCTACTAGCATGGTATCATGCCTGAAAATGCATGATGAAGCAAACTAATGAGTGTAAATAAAATACTATGGTTTAAAAAATAGCAATAGGTCAGGGATAAAATGGATAACTACTCTACATGATCCAATAAATATTTATTAAAAATATTTAATGGGCATTGAGATGCGTAAAAAGACTTCTAAGTATGGACACTCTTTTTATATCATAATATTATGCACTATGTCCAAATCTAATTGCACAAATTTTATAAAGTTGGGACCAAAATATTTTTTTATGGAAACTTTGAGAACCAAAAATCCTATAGATAAAGGACCAAGTTGTAAAACAAAATTCTTTTTTAAGGATCAAAATAACTATTTAATAGAAGACTAAAATGAAATATTTTGATAAATTATTTTTACCATGCATTAAATGGATTAGATGTGAGTTTAGAGGATAACTAGCCAGTTGCCGCGCTATACCGCGAGTCCGATAGAACAAAATTATTTTAAAATTTTAATTTTTTTAGTTATAATATTTAATTCAATTAATTTTTTATAATGTTTTTATGAATTCTTTGCTTAAAAAAAAATCATTATTCTCTATGGATTGATTTTAAAATTAAAAATTATAATATTTTTAACTAAAATATTAATCAAGAATTGAAAAAAATTTAAAAATATAATTTTCACAATATTGTATTCTAAAAAATAGCTATAGGGACCGATTTTGACAAAAATTAACAAATGAAAAGAAATCTCATTTAATGCCGACGAGAAAAAATAATTTTTAAAATTATTTGCGCAATGCTACTTGGTAAATAGAATAAAATCAATTCAAAATATAATAATTTTTTTATTTAATTATTATTATTATTATTATTGTATTTTTCATAAAATTTTTGCTTAAAAAGCATGCTTTATTCTTCGTTATTTAGGAATTCTTAAATAAAAACTTATAATAATTTAAGCTTGAAAAATTAATTAAGAATTCAAAAGAAAATACTTTAAATTTATATTTTTTTATAAGAATGAATTTAAAAAATAAAGTTACAATTAATGTATAGACTTGCATAAGAATTAACCAATGAAAAAATAAAATTTTATTCTTATTTAATGTTGGTGAGAAGATTAATTTTTTTCAAGTATATGCATTTGATCTATATATATTTATTGACAAAATAATCATATATGCATTTGATCTATATATATTTATTGACAAAATAATCAATAAAAGTACCATAAAAAACAATATTTGAATAATTGGTTGGTTCCTTTAAAAAATTATTTTAATTATCTTATTTCGAATAATTGATTTTATAATGTTAAAAAAATATTTATAGTAAATAATTTGTATTATGTTAGAAGATGTATAGTTAATTTTTAATAAAATGAATGATTCAATAATTTTTTTATATGTCTTGACCATATTTAGTGAACTCGAGATAAATTATTTGCAATACACTTTTAGTATTTTAAAACAATCATGTTTTAAAATTTTATTCTAAAATTCAAATATAGAGAAAAATAAATTCTATAATATCAGTAAATAAAATTTCATATAAAAAATATTAATTGGATGAGAATTTTTGAAAAAAAAATAATAAATTCAAAGAATGAAATTTAAATAATAAGAGTAATATAAACTGAAGTATATGTTAATTTTAAAATATAAAACAATATATTATATAATCATCAATTTGTGTAAAAAATAGTTATGATTGATTGTTCAAAATTTTAACACCCAATTAAAAAAAGAACATAAATTGATGAAAAAAGCAAAGAAAAAATTGATTTTTTAAAATTTTAACATCCAATCAAATAAAAAAAGAATATAAATTGATGGAAAAAAGTACAAAAAAAAAAGGAAAAAAAAACATATGTAATGCATCAATCGGGGAATTAAAATTTTTATTTTAAATTTTTAGGGACTAAAATGAAATAAATTCAAAATTACAAAAAAAAATTATTATAGGGATAAAAATAAAATATAATAAAATTTTAATAACCAAAAGAAAAAAAAATTATTAAACGGGGACTAATGCAAAAATTAAGTTTACCGAAAGTAAAAGGATGCTTTGGTGGAAGAGAGAGAAAAAATGAATAGTGATTGAAGAGATTCAAATATAATAAATTTTAATGATAAAAAAGAAAGAAAGTTATAAAACGAGGATTAAAACGAAAATGAAGTTTATTAAAATCAAAAGAGGAGTCGTGGGTCATGTGGCGAAGAAGTGAAAAAAAAAAAGAATAAATAGTCAATAAACAGTGCTTCCACTACGGTGTTTCATGGTTTTCTTTTAGTTTATTTTCTAATCAAAAAAGAGTTAGGTCGTGGCGGAAGAAGTGAAAAAAAAAAAAAAGAATGAACAAGTCAATGAACAATGCTTCATTACGGTGTTTTATGGTTTTCTTTTAGTTTATTTTGTAATTTCTTAATGAAATGGGCATAATATTTTTTTAACGAGTAGAGTAAAAGATTGAATTAATGGATTGATTAGTGCCATCCCTATTAATAGTCAATAAAAACAAGTAAATTATAAATTGCTTCTTCTACTTTCAAGCCATGAATTAATTATCCTCTCTTATTTTGGAAACTAATTATTTAATTTTTATGTTTTTAAATTTTTTCTTAACTTAATCATTTCTGTTTTTTTTTTCAATTTATTCTTATTTTTCGTTTTAAGAAATAAAAAACAGTAAAAATTATTAAAGAATTAATGAGAAAAAATGATATTTTTTAAAATAAAATAATATTAAATGAATTACAGTAAATATTGATCAATAGGCTAAATAGTTATTCTTTGTAACCAGAAAACTAATTAATTCGTTTCTCAAAACTAGAGAAACTAATTTATATATATGTGTGTACGTGGGAAAAAAAAAGATAAATATAATCCGACAAATGACAACGATTGTATATACTACGTACTTTGTATTAATTAGTATATTTTAATTAACTTACTTAATGACGTTGGAATCCCAGCCCTTAAGATTGGCTATCTCTTTCAATGCATGTCTCCAACCTTCCACCTCTTCAGCATTGCATTCTCCTTCACGCTGAGCAAGTCCATCAGCATAGCTCCCTCGCAGCTCCTGGATGTCAGTCGGATCAACTTGGTAGAACACCGGTATAACAATCTGGCCTTTCGTTTCCTTGCACTCCAGAATCTTTGCGAGTTCCCTCAAACAGAAAGTAGAGTCTGCATAGTTTTTGGAGAAAATGACTAGTGAAATCAGCGATTCTTCGATCTTTTTCAAGAGGGCTGCCTCGATCTCTTCTCCTCCACCAAGTCTATTATCAATGTATGTCTCAATCCCATTTCTATCCACCAGTTCACGATGAAGAACGCTGACAAAGTTATAACGGGTGTCTGCTCCTCTAAAACTCACGAACACATCATGCTTGCCTAGATCTCCTTGAGGAGGAGGAGTCATGGTTGAAGAAGTGAAAGCCATGCAGTTTTTGGACAACGGAGGTGCTTGAAATTTCTATGTATTTGTGTATGTTTTTTGGTATCAATGAGAAATGCAAAGTTGATGGACTGAGCCAACAGTGATAGTATTTATTAAGGGAAATTTGATACCTTCATTTCCCTGCTTGATCAAGAAAGAATTCGATACTTTCATCTATCTTGGTCTATGGAGTTTTCTTTGTACCTTTATTTTTCTTTGCCTGAGCCAAAAGTGTTCTGATTCCTTGCTTTGTCTATGATGAGAACTGTTTTCATTCCTTAGTTTAGAAGATATGAATGGAATGTCTCAATTTATAAATGTACGTATGATATTTAGGGATCCAATAACAAAGCATTTTGGTTCAGGAATTGATTGAAAAAAAAGGGAGTTTTGGGAGTTTCTCTATTCTAGTCCGAACTCGTCAATTCAAGAAGCCCGTCAATCACACAGCAAAACTGAAAAGGAAAAAAAAATCTTCATTTGTAGGATGACACCAGGAATTATTCGGAATAATAAGAACTATACTCCTTCTGGCAAAAATATTGAACCTATGAACTATTTTTATAATAGATTTTATGTTTTTACGAGAGAGTGGAGTACAACTCATAGCATAAATAACAATTTCTCAACACAAATATAGTTTTTTTTTTCTTTTATCCTTTAAGGTATCCTAAGCCTAAAGACCAAGATTAATCACTTGCTTTTCTGTTGGAAACAATTATCCGGAGAATTTTTTACATATATAAGGATTGGAACTCGAAACTACTTTAGCTCTTTTCACTCAAACTATTCTTCTTGAATTAACAATATAGGTTTTTAAATATGTCAAACTAAAAATTTTTTAACCACATTTCTTATATAATCTTGTTTTTATGTAACCTGCAAACATTTAATTGAGTTATAAAGGTATAAAGCCTTAGGTCAAGATAGTTTGAGTTATTCATTATGAGGTTTCCCTTTTTATTTTCTTTGCCTAACAAGGAAGAGAAATTATACCGAGAATTTACCCTTTCTTTTAACAAAAATATGGAATTCGTGAGTTATTTTCATGGTAAATCTCATGTTTTTATGAGAAAGTCGAGTACAACTCCTAGCATACTTAATAATTTCTCAATTGCTATTTCTATTCCTTTCTTTGTTCGCCATGGTAATCAACTTCATTCGAGATCAATTTCGTTTCGGTCCTTTTATTTTGTCATCATTATGCGGATCTTCTGTGCTCCACCATATACCAAGAAACAAGTGTTTCCTTGGGATGGAATTTTTTGTCCGAAATGGATTTCCCAGCACACTAATACTTAAGTCTGATGCATCTTAAAATCTGGAATGGTGCTCGCACAAATGTATAAAAGAGCGAAATATAGTGATTGATCCAGTGTCTAGATCTACGCTCGTTCAGTTTACATGAAATGCTCATAAACATGTCCATGCACACATCGTGCTCTTAAAAAGTAGCCTTTTTTACTTCCTCGCAAGAAATTTACACCCATTTTTTTGAATGTGTATACAAGCATGCTGCATGATCATCAATGATACGAAATCTCAAGTTCCCTAAAGACTGGAAAGTTAGCCACCTTCCAAAGATGAAAAAAAAAACATGGTTTCCTTGCTTTCTGTACAGTGTTTTATAGCAGTTATGCAGAAATTTCACGATATGCAACAAGAGACCATTTTCGCTCAGTCCCTCCCCTCAACCCCCTCTTCTCCATTACAGCAACAAATGAACTTGTGTTCTTTGTTACAAGCAGCCAGAATATAAGAAGGAAGAAAAAAGATGGGCAAATGGACTCGCATCCATATTCATTCACTCTTAACAGCCTGATAAATGTGGCGAACAAATGTGAAGGAAGCGCGGAAACTGATTGTGCCGATCATCAAGAAAAATGCATAGCACATGCAAGCATTATAACCAAAGAAGAAGGATAGCTGCATAAAACCACTCATGCTCGACCTGGAAAAGAAGTAGATGCTGTAGCTAAACATAAAAATGGCCACCGAGCCACCACACAACAGAGATCTGCATCAAACCAAAAAATAAGCGATGAACATACTAGATTGGCATGTAAAAACAAGAAAAGAAAGGCTTTCCATTAACGAAGGGAGGCTACTAAAATTCAAGAAAATAAACCAAAAACCTGCCTAGGAATAAGTGAAAACTTATTAATAAGGGCATACCTCCACCACCATTCGTGGTCTTCCATAGAAAGCTGAAGGTATGTCATCCCAACACTCAAGATTGTGGTCAGCACGATAAGGATGATGAATGTGACAAACAAAATGCTAGGAAGGGTGCATATTTTGTAGCCCCACAAGCTTGCATATAAGTGCTGTAACTCAAGGGCTACTGCACTAAAAGGTAAAAGTCCTCCAACAAACATTTGACATGGTGTTCTTTTATACCATGCTGATGGTGGAATTTCCCTTGGATGACTTTTTGTAGCAGAAGGTGCTTGAAATTCAGACCTAAACCGATGCCCAATCAACCCTCCAAAGGCAAGCAAAGGAATGGTTAAAAATATATAAATGAGAAGAATCACTAAAATGGTGCCAAATGGAAGTGATGCGGTGGCCCCATAAGATACAGAGATTGTATTGAGAACGGACAGTATCACAAATGATGGACCCAGGTAGAGAATCCCACTAAGAAGTACACTCCTTTCCTGAAAATTTACAATATGTCACAAAAATCAGTAAAGGTCATGCAAAAGGAAACTGCAGTAAATAAAAAGAAAAGGAAGAAGACAAATCCAAACAATTCTCTTACCCATCCATTTTCAGAAAACTGATTATGGAAAGAAGCAGCAGTATAGCCTCCAACCACAGATGTAAGTGCATATAGCAGGACAAAAGAAGTGAATAGTGCCCCACGGTTGTAGGGGTAGAGTATTCCAACAAATGCCAAAACAAATAAAAAGAAAACCCTGGAAAAAAAATACAGTTCGGAAAGGAAATAAATGTTAGAATCTGATACTTGTAAGGTTAACACATGGAGTAATCCTACCATGAATAATGAATAATATATGTGGCTTCAAATGCAAAATTCAAATTAATGAACTAAACCTCAATTCTAATCTAGTTGAGACCAGTCGTATGGATCTTTTTTCTCCTTTCAGTTCTGTTTTGATAAAAAAATTCCATGAGTTGTTCGATCGCAAATCATGGTTTCGATATGCACAAATACAAAAAAATTCCAGATATCCTAACCCACTACCGCAACCATCCATCCAACATCAAACTATTTCCGGATACCTATAAAAAAAATAGGGTACCAAATACCAATGCTTGAAAGTATAATATAAACAAAAACACCATTTATCAATTCCTGCAACAAAATATATTTCATGATGCCAGATTGTCAGGCACGAAAGCATGGACATTTTGATGACAGTGAAAACAGAGGATTGTTTTTGTTGTAGCTCAGCAGTGAGGAATTCAAGACTGCTTTCAAAACATGGCACAACCAGGCAACTGAACACCCAGACCATGTAACATCTAATATGATTTCCCATCCTTGATGCAAACTAAAGAAAACCAATGCGTCATAGCTCTAAAATAGATACAGAAGGAAGAAAAATGATTTTCTTGGGATCCTTACACTGTCAGCAGTTGAGTACCAGCCCCCAATACAGCACAAAATAGGGACATGTTTTGAGGATATCTGAAAACATCGCCATGTATGTATTTCCAACCGACCTCCCTGTCTTCTTCTTCATCTCCACTTGCAAACCTGCAATATTACAAAAATAAAGCCGAGGGCAAGAATACCAAATGACCAGCTCATAGCATTATCTTCATTCAAGTAAAACCAAATAAGAACAAAGTATTAAAGGGTGATTGCATTACTTTCCGAGATCCTTCTTGAGAAACCGCATAAGGAACACTGCAAGTAATCCCGTAAAAAGCACAATGTTAGCAATTGAGATAAAGAATGAGAACCAACGAATCTGCTGGCGTATAGGAAGTAACGAAGCCCTTGCATACTTGTCCATCCTGGCCTCAAACTTGGATGATGTTGCTTTCCAAAAACCGAATAAGTGAACTTCACATCCATATCAACATCATCTGTTATATCGACAGCATGATCTGGATCACTAAAAGCACTTATTTCTATTACTTGGTTATCATTATAAAGAACGTCAAATTGCACATGTTTGAACAGATAATACTTGAACTTCTTCTCTCCAAGGACCCTACTTTGCTCTTCAATTTTCCCAACAAAACCCCACAGTGGGAGATCATCATAGTACATTTGGAAGTAAAAATCATCAATGACAGCATCCCTGAATCTAGCAACTTCATATCCTTGAAGCCTGTTTTCACAAAGGGTCACCCCAGTTTTGTCCTCCTTGAATTTCAACTCATACAAACTACTACTCAAACGATCACCATTCAACACTTCACCAAGTGTTTCCTTTTTTAGGATTATATTATCTGCAAACCCCACAAAAAAGATACAAACTTTAACCACTTGAAACTCCAATAATATCTCCAAAACATCAACTAAACAAAATCCAGTAACCTACCAAAAAAGAAAAAAAGAAAAAGAAAACCCATCACAAATTTTCCTTCATTTTCACTGAATTGCTCAAAATTTCCATTTTTGCGCACAATCAAATATGACCTTTTTTCTTAAGCATTAAAAACAAATTGGTTCATCTAAATTCTAACCTGGATGGCAAAATGGCAAGTCATAGTACCAGTAAGTCTCACTGCAACACAAAACAAAAATCGCAAAAGAAAATCATAAAAACGAAAACTTTATTGTCCATATCATATCATGCTCTACAAGAAAAAGATGAAGACTTCGGCATTTGAATGAAAGATTTGAATTGATATAGAGCAGTACCTGGGATTATCCAATGGACCCACTTTGTTAACAAACAGAGGAACATGATCTCCAGCATTGTATTGGTGATTGGATGGTGAAGATGCAGAGAATCCAAAGGAGAAGGTTAGAGCTGTAAAGAGGACTAAAAGGAAACTCATTTTTCAAGTCAGTGCAGGAGATGCAGATCAATGCATTGCAGGACTGATTTTGGTGAGACAGAGGAAGTCTGACTTCCCAACGACAAGTCGTTTCGATTCCTTTAGATGCTTTAAAGCTGAATTGTTTATGGTTCAGACAGAAATCATATTAATGCGAGGAGTAGGTCAAGGGGTGTTCCTTCTGCTCCCTCCTTGGCTAGCGAATGGAGTTTCAAGTACGATTTGATCCCAAAGTATCTCGGTTTTAAAAGAAAAAAAATATTTAAAAATATCTTAACAAAGTTTAAATATTATTGGAAATATTGTATTTATTTTTCGATAAAACACTCATAGACAGATTTTGTCATAACAAAACATGAAACAACAAAAGAACAATGCATTATTAGTAGGGATTTTTCACACGTACATGGAAGCAAACACATTTCATTTATCCGAGGCATAAGTGAAAATATTGATAAGATTGGTGTTGTAATTGTGAAAATATAGGGTTGATCCTGAAAATAACCCAAAACCACGGGGACTTTCCTGTAACTACAAACAAAACTTCTGATTTCATGACCCAATAACAGGAACCCACCTTCAAAACAGGAGTAGGTTCCTGGATGGTTTATATGGTTGGGCCTTTTATACCCGTTAGAGTTCAAAGAAGGGAAATCCTCAAAATAGTTCCTGGTTTATAGAAGCAATATCGATTAGGTCCTCAAAATGATTTTCATGTTGATTAAATCCCCAACAGATCAATGGATTCTTAATCAAATCTTTCAGTCAGTTTTAGGAAATTATTAAATAGTTATGTGAAAAATTCACTGGATTCTTAATAAAATACTCAATTCGGTTTATGAAATTATTAAGTAATCGTGTAAAATTCATTGATTTCTCTTTTTCCATGCAAAATCATCAAAATTTTTAAAAATTTTAGTTTTATATAACGCGAGACTCAAATAAAAAAATAGATTGCATAAAAAAAAATTTATATTTAATTTAAATAATTTTTAAAAAAATATAATTAATTTTATAGTTTTTATATAGGAAATGAAAATGTTTTTTAACAAAAACTAATGAAAGGATATAATTGAGAATCAATTGATACAAAAGGGAATCGAGACAAACATCAATCTAGGGAGCTAATCAATATTTTTTCTATATATGGGGATTCTTTTGAAGTTTGCCTTCAAGAAACATAGGCAAATGATTACAAATGAAAAACCCATCTTTTTTATTCAGTATTTCGCTCATTATGGATTCTTCTAACTTATAATCTTTCTTACTCTCTATTCTCCAGGGTGGCGGATTTTTATCAAAGACACTCCTGGAATAGTACCTCTCTCTCTTGATTCTCTCCCAATTCATCTATAATCCCTTGCTGATTGCGTTGTTTGGTAAGATCTTTGACGACTTTGATGTTTTTTTTTTGGTTTTTGAATTCTGTTTATTATTTAGTGAATCTCATTTTTTCAATATTTTATTTTGTTAACTGATGTTGTAGTGTGAATTTTTTACTTGGTTTGTTTATACCCAGATGTCAGATTCTATGCTTTCCATGGGTTTTGTTCATTGATTTTTGGGTTATTGCCTGGCTGCTTGATGTTTTGCAATATTTTTATTTAACAAGTGAAAAAGGTTTCCTTTTTCGTTGAATACAATGCAATTGGTTAATACCCAGTTATTGGATTTTGAGTTTTTGGTTTTTTTTTTGGTTTTTGTAGATAGATTTGGGATTTATAAATTTTGTCGTTTGCCTTTGCGATCAATGATCCCTCCCTTTCTTAAAGTTTGGATTTTTTTTTCTCTTAATTTTTAGCTTGTCCCAATTGGCTGTTTCTATTTGTTGATGAGCTTTTATGTTTGTGTACTAGATAAAATTTTGGCGTTGCATTGGAAGAAACCATGCACAGGATCCGAATATTGTTGAAGAGTTCATTAGTTCCAATGTTATAAACTGAGCTGCATTAGTTTTTCTGATATTTTTTGTGGGAAGTTCTAGTGGAGGATTTGAAACTCCAGGTATTGGTTTTCGGGTGATGGAACATCTGCCAGTTGAAGTTATTGGGAACATTTTGTCACGGTTAGGAGGTGCTCGGGATGTGGTGATAGCTTCTGCAACATGTCGGAAGTGGCGAGAAGCTTGTCGCAAACACCTTCACACTCTTTCGTTCAATTCCAATGATTGGCATGTTTATCATGATCTCACGACTAGCCGGCTAGAGATTCTGATAACTCAAACAATATTTCAAACCACTGGGTTACAAGGCTTGTCGATTTTGATGGATGACGTTGATGAGTTCTCTGCTTCAACAGTTATTGCTTGGCTCATGTTCACCAGGGAAACCTTGCATCGATTGATTTATAATGTTCGGACTACTCCGAATGTTAATATTCTTGAGATTTGTGGCAGGCAGAAGCTGGAAACATTGGAACTGTCCCATAACTCTATAACCGGGGTTGAACCCAATTTTCAGAGATTCCCTTGTTTAAAATCTCTTTCTTTGAGTTATGTCAGTATCTCAGCATTGGATCTCAATCTTTTGCTTACTGCTTGCCCAAAGATTGAAACCTTGGAACTTGTCAATCCAGAGATTGCAATGTCTGATGCACAGGTGACTGTTGAGCTGAGCAGTCCAACATTAAAGAGTATTTATGTTGAAGCAATCAGTTTGGACAAGTTTATCTTGGAAGCAGATAGCATTGAATGCTTGCACTTGAAGGATTGTGCTCTTGAGCTGTTTGAACTCATTGGAAAGGGTACTTTGAAGCATTTCAAAATTGATGATGTAAGTGTTCTTCATCTTGATATTGGTGACACTGTTGATAATCTTGAGATCATAGATGTCAGCAACTTCACTATTATTTGGCCAAAGTTCTACCAAATGATCTTCAAATCATCAAAGTTAGTGAAACTTCGTCTTTGGGATGTGGTCTTTGATGATGAGGATGAGATTGTGGATTTAGAAACTATTGCTCTTTGTTTCCCGCATCTCAGCCATCTTGCATTGAATTATGACTTGAGAGATGGAGTGGTTAACTATGGTCTGCAAGGGTCTTCCCACTTGGAGAGTGTCATTCTCTTGGAGCTCGGATGGACTATAATTAATGATCTCTTCTCTCATTGGGTTGAGGGGCTGCTAAAACTTTGTCCAAATCTCAAGAAGTTAGTAATTCATGGTGTTGTTTCGGAGGCCAAAAGCCATGAAGAATGCCAAATGTTGGCCAATTTTACCTCATCCATAGTTCATCTCATGAGAAAATACATGCATGTAGATGTGCAGTTTGAGTACGAATAGAATCCTGTGATTACTTTTGGTCAATATTCAAGTTTTTCCTCTTAGATGAATTGTATACAAACGTTTGCCAGGTAATATTTTTGGCGTTTAGAACCTGAGCATCCCTTTTCATGTACTGTAAATAATCTCTGAATTCTTCCTTATCATGGCAAATTACTTGCTTTTGCAACAGAATCGTGTTTTCTTTTTACTTTGTTGTCATTTTACTCAATTGCTGTGGACAAGCTTTTGATTTCGTCAGGTTGAAAATTCAGCTCTCGCTTCCTCCCTCTCACATACTTGCACACAGATACATTGTGCAGCTTGGTTTTCTTTGGCCTATGGTTTCCCACATTCCTTTGTGAGTTGTATCTTAACTGAATTGGCTGTTTTTTGATGGAATATTGCTGGTGCTGATGTTTTTATGTTGGAAAATATGGAGATGACAGTAATATCATTGGCGTAGCAAGGATGGCAGATTTTTCTCAATGAAATATGCAAGGTGTCACTGATGTCTGATACTGACATGAATATAAATTTGAAACAGAATGATAAATATATGCATGGCTCTGTTATAACTTATAATACCAAGAGACTCCCTTGCCAGGGAAAACAATGATGTGAGTTTAAATTATGATTAGTAGAGTTTCTAAATAGATGTTGTGCTGCTTACAAGCTAAATAAATGACTAAATGAGGCTAAATGTGAGGCATCAAATGGAAGTTGAAGATGTATGTTATTCTTAAGGATTCTATTTGACTTTTGCTAATGGTAAGAATAAAACCCATCTCCTTGCGTTATTTGTCAATCTTAGTAGCCTGTTCTCCCCTAGTTCTTGAAATTGCAATCTCCAATTCTTGTACAAGAGCAAGTTTTCCTTGATAAGATTTCTTTAAATATTCTGGTGTTTCTGTGTTGAACGGTTCAATGGAATAACTATTGTGTTACTTTCTGTGATCAGTTAGCTAATTTGCCATTGCATAATTTAACTGCATCTGCCTGCTGTTCATGTGTGCAATGGTGTCTGAACTGTTTTTTAAGGACATTGATCTGTGTGATCTGGTTGAGGTCTAGATTTCTCTCTCAGCCAGTGGAATAGGGAGATGTGAAAAAAATATTTCAAGTGATCCCACAGCATTAGGTGTTAGAGATGGAATCCCTTGGAATTTCTTTCTGTGTTGAAATATGAATGGCCTAGGGCTACTCTGCTGAGGATCTTACAGTAGAAATATGCAGGTCTTCATTCTTTATGAGGAACAGAAATCATACTAGGATTAAGTGTCCATGGCCCATTATGCCTTCAATAAATTCAGTATTGTTTGGAGCAAGCGTTGAGACAAGGACTAAATAACTAGATGGACAAAAATATATGGAGGACAAAATATAAGAATATATTTCACTCAAGTATTTTTGGACACGCAAATCACATACTGCTACGAGCAATAGGCCGTCACACTCATTCTTACTTTCTCTACAACACTTGATTAAGTCTTTATTTTTTGCACACACAAACTTATGGCTAAAGAGTCGTATTTATACTAGCCTAAGGATGATTTTAATGAATCAAACGATAAGCACATTATAAATGCACCTGGAAGAGCTAAAAAGATTCTTAGAAAAACTTAAAAGAAAATTATTGGTGTTGGCAACGCCACATGGTTTGAGAAAAACTCTAGAGAAGATTTTTAGACGTGTACTTTGGGCTATGGACTTGGACTTAGGCTATGGACTAGAGCTGAATAAAGTTTAATTTGTAACAGCAAGGGCTCCGTCGTCAAACCCTTGAAGACAGGAGCTGCAAACATCACAAGTATTCTTGCAACACTCATGAATGACTTTAGAATCTTTGGACATAACTGAACTATGCTGGATTTGGATGGAAAGTATAGTTCACGCACTTACAATTTCATTAAATTTGAATCTTATATCAACACATTTGTCCTTTCTATCAGTAACATGTGCCCTTTCTATCAGTTCACATTCGAAAGAGGGGGCAGAGTAAGAATCATATAGGTCAGGAGAGGGCACTCAAAAGAGAGGAATGGGATAGGATTAGTGTAGTTGGGGGAGGGTTGCTGAATCCACTAAGAGGCTTCTTATGCTTGCTTTTCTTCAGGTTGGTTGAGGAACTTTTGCTTAGCATTTGAGTTAAAATTATTTCATCCACTCCAAAATACTGCTGCCGTAAATTCAGAGTGCAGGTGTCTTAGGTTTCTTTCAGTTATAGGAGAAGGAACATCTGTGCTTTCTGAATTACTGTTCTTAGATTCTTCCTTATCAGGAGTCACCTACGAAAAAGGCTGGATTGTTTCTGAAACTTTTGCTGTGATTTGTTTAAACTTTGTCCATAATTGTAAGTCAAACAGTCCTAAGGATTAAGATGCTATATGTAACTAGAGCCCTGTATGTCCAAGACAGTGAGGTTTCGGGATCATGATGTCGATAATGTTTAGAGGGGTGACAATCTTCGCTATGAAAGATCAATTCCCATCTAAATAATCTTGAGCTATACTTTGAGGTAAAGTAAAATAAGTAGAAATTTTAATTGCGTTGTTGGATTAGTTATTGCTTCGCTTACCTACACATTTTATTACTCTTTTTGCCTTAGGATAATCCATTTTTGTTTAAGAAAGCTCTGCGGTGTCATGGCTTATAAAATGTTTAGGGCTGTTAGAACTTACTTGACCTGGTAATAGGAATTCCTTTTGCAGCATTGTAAATAATAACTTTATCCATTTCTGCTAGGCAGTTTTTTCAAGATTTAAATCATACTTTATTGTTGCATCTAAGGTATAAATTGGTAGCATTTATACTTCATTAGGGTTTTGAATAGGTTGTAGTGCTGGAAGAGAAGATCCCTCCCTCCAATTGCCAGATTTTCATTACTTGTGTTTAGATTTGTACTATTCAAGGAGGAAACTGTGTCGCCAACTCTTTCACAAGGGAACAAAGTCAACTTTCTTGTACCTGATCAGGAAACAAGTCTTTGCTGTGTGCATGAACTTCTTGCAGAGAATTAAAATGGCCAGCAGCCTAGCACCTACTACTTGTATTGGCTGGCTTTTGCAAATATTCCACCAATTCCAACCACCAAAGGAGCGTTTCAAGTTTCAATAATTTATCTACTTCAAAGCAGTGGCCAATTTAAGATTCAGAAGTTATTCAGCATCTGATAAATTCTTCATAGCTAAATTGGAAAATTTCGGCACCGAGATCGCCAGAAGTTGAGAGGTTACTCTTTAAGTTGGAGAAGTTTTTATAACACCAGTAGATGCTTTAAATGTCAGATTTGAGCTTTCTGTTCTGTTTTGGGTTTAGTTATCAAGTCTATTATGAAGTTAAGGGGACCATCAAATCTCTTTGGGTTGCTTCGATTCTATGTTTGGAGTGCCAATGTTCATCGCCTAAAAGAGAGAAGGCATCTAAGCAACTGATGCAACCATTTCAATAATCTCTCTCTCAAGCAATGCAGGAGCTTGTAAACTGAACAGCACTTTTGTGCATGCAACCGATAATGCTGCGAAATTTCTCAGCATGTTTTAAAACAACAACCTGACGAGACTAAGTTTCTTTTCCAAGTGATTTGGAGAAAGAACGTAATCCTTACATCGGCTTGTACATTCAGATGAATAAATCTCTCTTTTCTCATTTTGACTCTGACCTGGTTCAACCGTTCTTGAGCCTTTGGTATCAGTTAAATGTCAAAACCTTGGCCATAGATTGCTTCTCTTCGTAGCATTTCAGCTAAGTTCCTGTCTCAATTGATTATTGAGAAATGGGAGACAAACTTGTAAGCCTAGCTCACGCAACTCCAGTAATGATAGACAACTAGAAAAGGATGCAAGTTGGGATGATTAAACTCGATACTTTATACGAAGAAGCAATATCAATCCATAGGGCTAAAAAGATCAAACTTCCTCCAAACTTTAGTTGATTTAAAAATCAGTTTGTGATTTTTTTAATTTGTATTTGACTTTTTTGAATTTTATTTTTTAAAAAAATTAGTCCGTTCTATAATTTTTAGCTACCATTAATCTCTTCTAAAAAAATTCAATTTTTGGTATTTTGATATGAGCCATAAGGGCATATTGAGAAAAATTCAATCCATTTTCTAGAAAAACTCCAAAATTTTTCAAAATAGAAAATTATATTTGTTTATTTTTTTGAATGTTAAAAATGTAGAAAATCAGAAAAAAAAAAAAAAACTAGACTTAAAATGAACCTAAATTTTTTGAAGAGCTCCAAATAAATCTCAATAAATGATTTCTATTATGAAGCTATTTTTGTAATTATTATTTTTTGAGATAAATGACAAACCGAAAGATTGACTAAATTTTTTTAAAAAATAAAATTAAAGTTTAAAAAGGTCAAAACATAAATTAAAAATTTAAAGAATAATTTTTAAAATAGACTAAAGTTAAAGGAAGATGTGGCTCTTTTAGTCCAATCAATATAGATATATATATATATATATATATATATATATATATCTTGGTTTCCATGCTTAAGTAACAAGCAATGCCTGAATTAGTTAACCAAAAACTTAATTATTACTTGGATTTGATCTAGACCAATCACCTTTCTACAAGAATAGAAGCAAAGGAACTTAGAAAGGGAACTAAAGTTTGATGGAATGCAAGATTCGTGGAATCTATAATCAAAAAGACTCGAAATCTTCCGTATGAAGAACATGCTGTAAGGTTTACTGGGAACAAAGATGTATATAGTAGCATGTAGGCTTAAAATACCTATTTTTACCTAATCCATGAATCCTACCTCTATGTTCGAGCCAAACCCCTTTTTTAGGCCAATCATTGGGATCACGGAGAAGGAATAATTGGTGTAAGCCATAAGGGCATATTACCTGCAAAAGTAGCAGATGAGCACAACATAAAATATTTGTTTCTACCTATTTTTATGAAAGATCATGGGTCCAATACCCCTCTAGACACAGAGACGCAAGCAATAATTCTTGTCATGGCTATCTCATTAAGTCCTTGAAGATTATTTAAACAATCCCATAATCTATCCTCTGACTCCTAACTTTACACTTCTTTTCTGGTCAGACCGTAACAAAAGGGTAGTTTTTTAGGATTAGTCATATCTGCTCAAAAGAGAGAGAGGTTTGAGGCACTGACAACACAACAAAGAAAAAGCCTTACCTAATGAAGGGATTAAGACCCTGATGAGAAAATGAAATGAGTTTTGCAACGACCCTATATCGCTGAGACCTAAAAAGAAATGAATTTCTATTAAAGGAAAGGAATCTTAATGTGGCATGGTTCTAGGTGATGACAGGGAATGGATGTTGACCCATCAACAAAGCAGATAATACCAAACAAATCCATCTCAAGAACTTGGATTAATTTATGACAAGAGGGTTTTTGCTTTAGATCATAAATTATTCTAATGTTTTGGTTGAAATAGTTCAAATTAAATCTACGTCCCTGTTGCAGCTCTGCCCTCTTGAGTCCCCTTCAGGACATAAACAGAAAGTATAATAGTAGTAGTGCAATCTTTTAAAAAATCTCTTGTTATTACCAAATTATGCGAGAGAAACGATTGTCTCTTCTTACATGATATTGAATGTTGAATTTATTGCTTAATAAATAAAATTTGATTTTTTCCTGCTGCAAAGTACTTGAATCCATGAACAGCCCCATAAAAAGAACCAATGAGAAAGCACAGGCGGTTAGAAGAGAGAGAAGAGTGGAGTAGGAGTCATTCAGTGATTCTAGTGGGTTCCTGCTAAAGACCCCACCTCCTCTTCTTCGGTTTTTTTTTTTTTTAATATTTGATCATTGAATTTAGTTTTTTTTTTTTTTTTTTTTTTTTTTGGCAAAAAAACCCCACACAGGCCAGAGGGCTTGAGACAGCTCTTGCTTGTAAGGACAAGAGTTTTGGTTTACTACATAGGGGATGAGTTTCAACTTTCGAAACCCTGCTTGCTGATAGAACTAAAGCAAACACCGAAAAGAAACAAGAAAAAAGAAAAACGGACTAATCTAATCGGGTTAGATTTCTTCACATAGAAGGAGAGAAAGATAGAAGGATAGAAAGGAAAGCAAAGGAAAGCAAGAGATAGAGACAAGCATGAAAGAGCAATAGTTGGAAAGAGTGGAGAGAGATATCTGAAGAAAAAGACATGTCTTTTCTTGTAAAAACTTAGATATAAACTTTGACAAGATAGCTTCCTTTGATTTCCCTCCTTCCCTCCCTCCCTCCCTCCCTCTCAGTTGTGTTCTTCTTCAAGTACAACTTAATTTCCAGCTCCAGAATTCAATACCAAACCGAGGTAAATTTACATACATGGAATTAGAAGCTGCAGTACTATTGACTTTAAATTTGTTTTGACGATAGTTTAATGTTCCTTTCCTCTGTTTCTTACCACTTTTATTGTTTGTTGTCTGATTTACAACATCTTTTTAATGTTTGATGATCAGTTACTTCTTGTTGGAGGAAGTTTTGAGGAGTAGAATGGTCTAAGAAAGAGAGATTGCATGGCTAGCCACAGAGTTGGAGAGACTGGTTTATCAGACTCAGGTCCCTCTAATCACCATCTATCTTATGCACTTTTCCAAGGAATCAACACCCCATCAACCAGTTTCATGTATGCCAGCTGCCACTGCTCAGCTTTCAAAATTTATTACAATTTTTTTTTTTTTATTCGAGTATCCCTGACATGGGATAATCATGTTTTCGTCTCTAGGAATCAAGAAGGATCTGCTTTTGATTTTGGAGAGCTAGAAGAAGCAATTGTGCTGCAAGGAGTTAAGATTAGGAATGATGAAGCTAAAGCACGTATGCTACCACCCTCTCCTCTCTCTTTCGAGCTATCATTTCTTCTTTTGTGACGTTTGATAAGTATAACCAACTCTACAAAAAGCAGAGAGAGGTTTGAATATGTCCAATCTATAGAGGAGTACAGCGTAGGGGGATTTCCATTTCCAATACAGTAATCATTCTGAGGCTAGAGAAATCAATGGTGTAAGGTTACGAACATAGTAACCTGACCACCATGGCATGATTTACTGACTTCATCTACATATAACTGCAGAAAAGAGGGGGATTAGGTGGCAAGGAAAATAGTACTGAAATCTTTATTGTCTTTATTTGAGGTGATCTGATCTTCTGAGATTTTGCTTTTGTTGATTCTTGCAGCTTTATTTACAGTAACAGGCAGACCTGCAGCTACACTGGAAATGTTCCCTTCATGGCCAATGAGATACCAGCAAACCCCAAGAGTAGTAGTTTCTTAGCTTCCTTTCTAAATCTTTGACCAGTTCTTATGTCCTTTGATATCAGTAATGGATAAAAACAATAGCCTTTGAAAGTCCAAGCAAAGCACAGCAAATCCCTACAACTTCTTTCATATCAACAAATTTTCCTGAAAGTCATTCCAGCAATCAATTTGAAAAGTTTTCAACTTTCTATATGGTTCTTTAGAGGCTGTCCCATTTCCAAAACTTAGCTCTTTTTTAACATGGTTCTTCATTCTTGACTGCCCTTTTGAACGTTTCTTGTGGGGTTTGCCCTTTGTTTTGTTTAATTTAAAAATTCAGGGAAGTTCAAAGTCAGGAGGGGAGAGTTCTGACTCAGGATCAGCGTTAAACACTCTTTCAAGCCAAGCTGAAGCCCATCTGGAACCGGAATCTCCCATCAGTAAAAAAGCTTCTTCTTCAGATCATTACAATCAGGCTTTTGATCAGAAGCATCTACAGTTTCAAGAACAGCAACAAGTAGATATGGCTAATGATACATCAAGAACAGGAGGAGGAGGAGCAGGAGGACCATCTCAACACAATCAATCACCTGCCAAAACACCCCAAGAAAAGGTTCTTAACACAACTGTTTTGCTTAATAATTAGTCTTTCAGTTCTCTCCTCTCTCTCTCCCAAATCCCAAAACTCAGGAAAAAGTTGGTATCTTTATTGCTCCCTCTCTCCATATCTTCAATACCCAAAAGCACAGATCCCAACTACCCTCATAAAATCCAAGGGCCAGAGCCTTCCCTGATTCCTGAAGGATTTCCTGTTCAAATGTCTGACATGAAATCAGAGGGAGAGAGACTGAGAGAGAGGGAAGGAGGGAGATTTGTAAATAAATATATAAGGCCAAAGTGAGAATCTTTGCACTGTTATTTTTTTCTTGTACAATAACAATGACCCACTTTACTCAATCCCTATAACTACCACTTTAAGCCACTTGTTTTTAGCCTTAAAAAATCATTTTTGGAATTAGGAAATTAACCAAAATCCCTCCTCAAAATGGAACATAATGATGGTTTTCTCTACCCAGACCTTGTTCTTGATTACCAATTTCTAGAACAAAACTCACATGAGAATGATCGGCAACCAGAATTTCTTCCTGGGAATTTTGTGAGAGATCTCTTTTATCATTGTATTTTAAAAAATATGCTACATTTTAGACGACTTGCATAAATTTTCTTACTCGGGTTGTTTTCTAAGTACTTGTTTTGGGGGTATTAGGACAATATTTTACATGTGTTTTTATGTCATGTTGCAGAGAAAAGGTTCAACATCAGAGAAACCACTTGATGCTAAGGTATATTTCTTTTTACTTTTTTCTTTTCTTTACCACCTTAACAGTGTTTGGAGTTCAAAACATGTTGCCTTTTGCAACTGAAAAAAGAAATTTTTGCTTTGCTTTGCTTTGGGTTCCAGACATTGAGACGTTTAGCTCAAAACAGAGAAGCTGCAAGAAAGAGTCGACTGAGGAAAAAGGTAAGGGTCATTTTCCTTTTCCACATCAACTTGGAGGCATCAATTAATGCCAAAAAAAAAATCATTAATGTTGTCTTTATGTTGTGTCCCAAAAACAGGCATATGTTCAGCAGCTGGAGACCAGTAGAATAAAGCTTACTCAGTTAGAGCAAGATCTTCAAAGAGCAAGACAGCAGGTCTTTAAATTATGTACAAATTTATACATTTTACCAATTAAAGCATGATTTATTTAACTTTTCATTATTAATTTTTTTTCCTAATTCTGGGTTGATTTACAGGGATTGTTCTTGGGTGGCTGTGGTGCTACTGGTGGCAATATCAGCTCTGGTATGTTCCCTTCAAATCTCATATTGAAGTAGCTAAAGGAAAAGACTGCAACTTTCATCAATTTTTTAATCTTTTGGACAATCCTCATGTGGCAGTTGGTTTAGCCTATTGAAAAAAGATGCAAAAATCTATGAAATATCGTTGCCAAGACATGTCCTGGTTTTCGATTGGCTGATTGGTAGTTGAACATTTGGTTTTTTTGGTAAAAAATTGGTGGTTGATCTTGACCCCTATGTAAATATGAGAATTTAACATCACTGATTTTTCTTCGAGTCAAAGTTCAAAAACTTACTGAAACCTTAATAAAGGTTTGTTTGGAAGGATTTCCTTAATTTGACTAAATTCTGTGACAAAATCTTTCTCAAAAGTTTTCTAATCCAAACAGTTTTAGCCACAAGGATATATTGCTGGACTTTTTCCATGCACAAAACTGTTCTGCCCAATCAATAAAGGATCCATTAGCATCAACTTTTCCATCTTTTAGCAAAAATAACTTTTGTTTTAGCCAAAAGACCAAAAAGGATGCGACACATTCTTTACGAAAAAGTACTCTATTTTCATTAGTGTGTCACATTTGCCCCCCATGTTATTCAAATTGCAAATGGGTCATGTTTATTATAGCCCTAACTTAATCCCAACCATTAATTTTCAATTATTATTATTAATGTTGTTGTTACAGGGGCTGCAGTATTTGACATGGAGTATGCAAGATGGCTAGAAGACGACCACCGGCACATGTCGGAGCTCCGGACAGGATTGCAAGCACATTTATCCGATGGGGATCTAAGGCTTATTGTAGATGGTTACATTTCACATTATGATGAAATTTTCCGGCTTAAGGTAGTGGCAGCTAAATCTGATGTGTTTCACCTTATTACCGGAATGTGGTCTACTCCGGCAGAGCGTTGCTTCCTGTGGATGGGTGGTTTTAGGCCGTCAGAACTCATCAAGGTGTGAATTTCGTACTGCATTTTAAGCATAGCACATTACATTCTACTCTATAGATACTGCTGCCATTTTTTTGGTAGTCAGCATAGGAAACTGGATAAGGGTCATTCTAGTCATTTAAGAAAAAAGGAGAGGCAAAGCGAGAGATGATATGTACAAGGAGATGAAATATTCCCTTATAAAGGGCACATTATCCTTTCAAAAGTAAGTGATTGAGACAATTAAAGTGCCCTAAATGAGGGAGTGTCCTTTTCTTGGCACAAAAAGAAAAATAAGATTGTTGACGATAGCCATACAAACCAGTCATAGAAAGAAAACTTTTGGCTTTAAAAGAGAGGGAGAGAGACACACATACAAGTAATGTCAAATGACTAAAATATCCTTATCAGATTATTCATTTTATTCTAACAAATTACGATTGTCTCTTCTTCTTCTTTTCGATTAAACAGATGCTGATAACCCAACTAGACCCTTTAACAGAACAGCAAGTCATGGGAATATACAGCCTCCAACAATCTTCACATCAGGCAGAAGAGGCTCTCTCCCAAGGCCTAGACCAGCTCCAACAGTCTCTGGTTGACACCATTGCCGGCGGACCGGTCATCGGTGGAATGCAGCAGATGGCAGTGGCCTTGGGCAAGCTTGCCAACCTTGAAGGGTTCGTTCGCCAGGTAAACAACATATCATTTTATTACTACCTTAACATGAATTTCTGTGAACTAATTAGGTAGACATTTTCTTACAAGAAAACAATGAATCAATCCACTTCTGTAGATGGACACACACACACACACCCATATGTCAGAATTGGACAATAGTAAATTTGTACTTCTTTTCCAAGTTAAGTACTTAGTGCTTCTGAAAATGATATAGAAAAGTAGGGTCTATCTCACTTGATTTCATGAAAGCTCCTAAATTTCTTGCTCCCGATTCATTAGCAACTAGGTGATGCATCAACTTTAATGTTCATGTCGATTAAGGTAACGAAAGATACAGAAATTCTAGAGGAAGAAGTTATTTGGTGTAGGAACAAGAGGCATGCAGTGGCAAAGTCAGAAATTTTTTATCAAGTAGGCAGTAGAAAATTCTTTCACAAGCAAAATACCTACATATATAGAAAAAGATTGATTCAAAAGTTGGTTCTGATGCTGTCATCTGGCCGTCTATTCCATTATATTCTATGTCACAGCATGTTTTGCGCCGCCATTTCTACCTTACACCTGAAGGGTAAAGAGTATAAAGCTTACACTTCCCTCAAGATAAACTTGATTTAAGATTTTCTATTGACTTTTAATCCAGAATATTAAGTATAAATATGTTTAGTTTGTTCAATAAGATATGCCACGGTCATGTCCAATGCATTTAACACTGATTTCTCCATCTTATAAATATCTGCCTTTAATAGTGTGGAAAATTACTTACAAAATTAATTGACCTTGAAAGATCTATCGATTGTTTTGTCAGTATCAAGTTTTTAGTCAACTTGTGAATGATTTAGCATAATTTTATACGTCAAAATTGACCATTTCCATTGCTTGTTTGCCAGATGTAGGGTGGGATGCAGGTCCTTGACTTGTACTATATGTTATTTTATTTGTATTATTGTAACCAATCATTTTGAGAAGAATATATGATTATTTTTCGGCTAAGAAGTCCATTTCCACAAGGTTGATAGCTAGGGTTTTGATGTGGGTTTTTTATCTAATAATAAATTAATGTTGCTATCAAAAGGGTTGTTAGAAAATGATGTTTGTTGAAATAAAAACCCTAGCTAAACCTATCAGCAACATTAAAAATCCTTTAATTATTGGTCCATTGAGAGAATTAAGTACCTTGTTTGATTATTTTATTATGATTTGAATGGTCTAAATCTAATGCCTAGACAAGACAAGTTCATGAGTTTCAAGTTTCAACCTCTTTGAAATGTTTAGTGTTTGTGCCCATATGCCCTTGCAATGGGACCCATCTTAGCTTCCATTTGATTTGTTCTTTATATTAACGTATATTTTGTCCCCCATCTTTTCGTTTTTTTCTTTTTGCATCCTTTCGTTTTTTTTTTTTTTAAGGAACCTTTTTTTTTTTTTTTGGCATCATACAGGCTGATAATTTGAGACAACAAACCCTTCACCAACTCCGACGGATATTGACGGTGAGACAGGCAGCACGGTGTTTTCTGGTGATCGGAGAGTATTATGGGCGGTTACGGGCACTTAGTTCTCTCTGGGCATCTCGTCCTCGAGAGTAAGCATTTTTTTTTCTATGAGAAATTAATTATTACTCCTTGAGCTTCTAAAGGTGTCCAAATTGACTTAAATGTAGGTTTCTAGTGACAAAATCATGCATATTCTATGAGATTTTTTCCATAATTTTATTACCAGCATTTCTTTTATTCCTTTCGATATATATATATATATATATATTTTACACTCTCCACGTAAAATTAATACGTGCATGGTGTCTGATATTGCTCAATTTTTGGAATTTTTTTTTCCAGGACAATGCTCAGTGAAGATAACTCATGCCAAACCGCCACTGATCTTCAAATGATGCAACATGCACAAAATCATTTCTCCAACTTCTAATAAAAAAACATGTGATACAAAAGAGCCAGACAGCTGCCTTCCTCACATTGATTTCACCTGTATTATGACAAATGTTATGGCCTCTTAGAATTCGGATAAGTACTTAATTAATTTAGTGAAGATAGGATTTTTTTTTTTTTTTTTTTTTTTGGCCTCCTTTTCCTCTTCTCGCCTTTGCCTTCTTCATTATCTTGATATTATTAATCACTATGTTCTCTTGTAAATGCAAATCAATTAATTATATGCATGAGGAGGCTTCCCACTTGCTTAAAGAAAGAGAGAGATATGGTCATATCTTCTAATGACTCTTGAATCATCCAAAAGGCTATATATATATGTAACTAGAATTGCATTACTTTTAATTTAATGGGTTTTAAACAATAATAATCAAAGGGGAAAAAAAAGTTGAAAGAGAGAGGGCGGTTGCAATTCATTTATGTGAAGTGGTTGTGAAGAAGAGAGGGTGTGTTATTCTAATCTATAGAGGACAAAGGAGAGGGAGATAGAAACCGATCGGGCTATTGTCTTTTTCTTGAAAGGTTTTATTATAAAATTTATAGTGCAAAGAGAAAAAGGTTGGTTTGCAACTCTTCATTTATTTTAAGTGGTTATGATAATTAATAAATAAATATATTTATTTATTCATTCATATATATATATATATATATATATATGATGATAATGCAGAAAGGAGGAGCAAAAATGGTGAGAAAGAGAGAGAGAAAGTTGCTTCTTTGACCTAACAAACATGGAGGAAGTAGCCAAAAGAAATATATTTAAAAGAAGGTCGACTAGGGAGCAACTTGCATGAATGGTGGACAAGATCAGTTCAACTTTTAGCAAATGCATGCATGGTCTTGCTAGCTAGTGATCACTGATATTAATTTACCATAATATAATTCATAATCAAACATCTTTAAATTTCAATTAAGATAAAAGGTGATAGTGTCTATCTTCTTCCTTTTTTCTATGTAAAAGTTATTTTCAAGTTAGTTTGTATGTTAATTGAGACAATTTTTTTATGAGATGAATTTAAAAATACAATCTTTCATATTTTTTTATTGTATTTAAGGAAATAAAGTTTTTAGATAATGATTTTAAGATCCTAACTTAGAAAATCTGTATATACATGAGGATAACATTCTTCAGGTTTTTGAAATATGATGTTGTAACCACTAGTATCCGGGGGCTCAAATGTACAATAATATGGTATTAATTTCTCAAATCTTATTTTCATGTAATATATATATATATATATATATATATATATATAAATAAAGATTGATAGCTCAGTCTAAACTTTTCAATTTTTTCTTATATTTTTAATTAAGTTAATTTTATTTCTAAATAAATGTTAAGTTTTTAATCTATTGTTTTGTTAATATTTTTCGATCAAATTATCGAAATTATGCATGTAATTTATATATAATTAATTTTTATTTTTAAAATATACTTGCAAGCCAATTAAATTTTTGAAATTATTTACATAATTTATATATGACTAATTTTTATTTTTAAAACACACTAACAAGTCAATAAATTCGAGATTTTTATATGTAAATTGTGTGATTAATTTTGATAATCTAATCTGAAAATTTTACAAAAATAATAAATTAGGATAAAATTAATTCGACTATAGATATAAAAACTAATTCAACCATGAACTATGTGTCCGGCAGTACTGGTAAGAGAGAAAGAAAGAACCACAACGACTGCAACAACAAGACAAAATCCCAAGTACTTGTGTTGGTTACTAAAGGGTCTAGAATCTGTGCAAGTGTCTTAAGAAAAGGGCATTCATGTTACATGTGTTGAGAGCATGCATGCTGCATGTTTTACGTGTACATGTAATAGATAAAGAGAGAAGAAGAAGGTCATGACGATATTGTTACTTTATTAATTCCTTGCAGACATCGCAGAAAGATTCAGAAAACGTTTCTGTGGGCTTGGAATTCAAAGTTTTCTTTTGACTTATCATTTCCATTACTACTCCCAATGTTATCATTAACTTAGTGCTCGAGAATTTTTGATAAAAGCCCTAGGCTTATGTCCATCGAAATGATATTCGCAGAATTGGATAATGTTGAGCTTGGTGGTATACATGGATTGTGGAAAATATATATATACTTCAAAATATTATAGTTAATGGATCCACGTGTCTTTATATGAAAAGGTAAATTTTTAATTGATTTTTATATTTTTATATGAAAACATAGTTTCCTACTCTATTTTTATATTTTTAATTGAATTAACTTTATTTTTAATCAAATTTCTAATATATTCTTTTTGCAAGATCTTTCAATCAAGTTGTCAGAATTAATCAAATGATTTGTATAACACATTATATATATACTTGTACAAATAGACAACATTTATGTGACAATCATTTATCTAAATCTCATAGTTTGACCTAAAAATTTTATAAAAATAATAAATTAGAATCTTAATGTTTATTCAAAAATAAAATTAATTCAATTAAAAATATAATAATAGATTGAAAAATTACACTATTATATAAAGATAAATTGAGTTTTAACCTAAAATATTATTATTATAATTAAATTTTGATTTTGATATAAGTATGATGGAGTCTCTTTAGATGTATGAATGTAAAAACCTAATATTTGATATCACTATTATTCAAATGTCGTAGGTGAAATGATAAGAAAAATATTTCCAACTCATCAAATCAGTACTCACCTTTGGAAAACTCTTCCCTCTCTTTTGGGTTGCACTAAATATGAACTAATGATAGATTCAAAGAGTTTAATTGATCAAAAGTTATGCGTAATCCGATACTAACTTAATCTAGAAATTAGTAAACTTATTTTGGATTGATGCTAAAATTAATCTAAAAATACTCCTCTTTATGTGAATATAAAAGATAATAAAGTTGTTTATATATATATATATATATAAAGACATGAACTAGTAATTTATTATGTGCAATAATGGAACAATCTGTTGTTTATATATTGCCAGCCTCCACCTGCATGCCAAGGAAGATATGTGGCTGTAATTAATTTATTCCTTCGTTGGGACACATGGGATCAAAATTAGGTCACTGATTTCAAATGGTTCTTAATTATTTAATAATTAATTGTTTAATAGTGTCTAAACTAGGGCTAGGCTAAAAAACAAAGCAGAGCAGATACCGACATGTTTCTTTTATATATATTTTCCTCTTAAAGATTTTGTAGAATATCTTTGATTGCAACCATTGATGGATGGACGTATAGATCAAATGCCATTTCATGCTTCTGTAGTTAGTTTATTAATTACACTTATTAACCTAATTGATTATTAATTAATTTTTGGATTCATTAATGAATTGTTTGATTTTGTTAATCTTGCTTTTTGCCTCCCAGCTTTTGGACCCATTAATTGCGTAGCTAAATAAAAAAGGAAGAAAAACTGTAAAGTTAGGGTCATTATCAGCGTGCTTTTATAACCTCATAAGTTTATAGGATATTTGCAAAGTCATGACCTTATCTTTCTTTACTTTATGTACACCATTGCCAAACGCTCTTTTCTTAGATTAGGTTTTAATTTAAGATTAAGTACTAAAGTGTCGTGAATCTTTGATTTCAATATTTTGATCTCATCAGTTTCGAATTTTTTTGCTAGTATGTATTAACTATTTTCGTCTCATTAATCAATTTCAAACAATTTTAGATACATTTAAGAAAACATTTATTATTTTTTTAATGATTTACGTATTTAAAAATATTCTTTTCAAAATTCGTATCATTATTTTAATGACTTACTTATATAACTCTCAAAGCATTATTCAATATCACTTGAAATTTGTTAATGAGATAAAAAGATTTAATTCAAGATCTAAAAACAAGTTTGAGATCAAGATCATAATAAAAAAAGATTTTTCTTTTCATGATGATAAAAATTACAATGTAATTTATAACCAATTAACCTTAATTTAATTATCTAAGAGTAATGCTACCTTCATCCTTACTTTCTATCAAAAGAAAATGGTTTATATATCAGATATTAGGGGATCATCATGAAGTTATGCATCATGCTTAACTAAAAGGTTTAGAATTTGAATAAATTAAACTTGATTTGGGATTAATATCTCCTAATTCATGATTAATTATTTACAATTTAATTTAAAAAAATGATATAATAGGCTTCAATTAAACGTGCACCAGAATCCGAAGTGCAAGAATAATCATCACACATGATGTATATTCCTTTGCTTTCTTGTCTACTCAATTAGTTGATAATTAATAAAATTATAGCCTAATTAAGTTTTGATTGACACGTTACATTGTCAAACACTATAACAAAGAAAGCAAACTGTTTTTTTTTTTAATAAATAAATTTTTTTTCTGGCATTGACTTGCATGATTGCTTCAGCTCACCCAATGATTCGCAGAAGAAATGGGTAGGGATCAATGAGGGTTAACCCAATCCAATTCTTCCAATTGGTTTACATTATCATTCTTCATCATAAATATTGGGTGGTAGTTTTGCTAATATTGTAGTTTATGGTCATGGTCAGCCATTTATTTATCCGCAAAGTACCATTCATCATATTGTCTTGGCACAGCAAACGAGGGATCAAAATTATTAGTTCTTCAAAGGAAAGGTGTATAATAATTAACTTTTCACCGACCAGACACAAAAGTCTACTATTACTTGAGTTAATTATAAATTAATCCCTCTGGATTTAAGAAATGATTTCATCGGTTACTCTCATTTCAAAAACTAATCATTTGATGTTTTTTTCTTTTTGGTCCATTTTATGTTTTTGTTCCTAATTTGTTTTGTTTTTTTAAAAAATAAAAATAAAAACCATGAAAAATTGATGAAAAAAGACATAGAAAATGGTCAAAGGACTAAATAATTAGTTTTTTGAAACAAAAGGAACTGATTCAATTATTTCTAGAAACCAGTGTGACTGATTTATAATTTACTCAATATTACTTACTGGAAAACATAACAAAAACTGGATTAAAAAAAAAAAAAAAACCATTAGTGCACGGCAACAAGACGTCAAGATTAAAAAACCTGACAAAACTTTGTCTGTAGCTGCAGAGGAAGACACTGAATACATGTCTGAAAAGTAGTACTTATCAGTAAACCTTACATGCATGCAAGGACTCAAGATATACTGCAGAAGATGAGAAAAAATGTCCGTAAGGAAGAAACAAGGAAAAAGAAAGAAGTCATGCAGAACCAGATCCATATATTGGTTTGGTTTTCTGAAGGGTACATGAATCTTTTGGGACTCAAAGTAGGTTCATTGGTTGGTACCATCAATATACTTCAATTAAGTACAGATTATATACGCAAGAATCAATCATAATTACAATTGTTGATTTGCTTACCTCAACCAGGCCGTTTAGATTTGATCTCAAAAATGGTGTTTGCGTTCACTTCACCAGCATGAAGCGCACAGCTCTCTACATGAGCATGTTCAACTCCGTAAGGTCATCCATTGGTATTTCAAGACCTATGGAATCATGATCTTGCAATCCCTCCTCATCAATATTCAACCATGAGCCAAGATCTTGAGGCCCATCAAGGTCAGTAGATCCTCCTAATTCAATGGTATCAAACTCATTTATTCGCCTGTTTGCAAAATCCACAGGTTCATCTGCTTCCTTAGGGGCATCCTGAGGAATGTTGCCAAGAGACATTGACCCCACTCGCTCCATTTTATTGGTAGCATTAGCTACTGAATGAGTAGATCCACGAGGTCCATTTCCTGAACTCAATAAATGAGTACTTTTTTGCTTTGGCTTTGATTTTGTTCTGCGCTCACCTTTGACTGCATCCAACGATGAGCGACTGCCTCCAGAAACAGAATTACTTCTTGAATTATCCTTGCTTTGTTCCCTATCTCTGTCGCTTCTCTTACCCTTTACTCCACCAAGAACAGCACTGTCAAGGGTTGATGTTACCCTTGAAGAAGCGCTGCCAATAACATCATCTATAAGTGCTTCCCTCTTCTTACTTCTTCCAAAGCTATCACTATGAGAATCGCATCTCTCAACAGTGCTAGAAACAACACCTAGTGGCAAGAAAAGGAAACACAGAGAATCATATGCTGCTGTTGGAACATAAAAGCAACTTAAAAACTGCTAAAATTAGAGTCAAAATGGTCTTAGTATACTATTAATATTCTGACACGGCCAATGAAAGTCTCAGAATCTTGAACAATGCATAGCACATTCTAAAGTCTATTCCAAGAGATATAATAAGCATCATCAAAGAGCATGAAAAGATTTAACATACCTGATCCTCTGGCTTCAGCATGAATGTTAGAGACGTCATTGCATGTGTTACTCGCAGTTCCTGAGCCAACACAATCCACAGATTTAGTGTCGTTGTTGCATCTAGGCGCAGAGAAGATGACCTCCTGTAGTGCAGGCTCACTAAAACAACTGCTGCCAGTATCTTCAAATTTTTGACATCTGGCAAGAGTGCGCTTGACAAAAGCCAATGCAACTTGCCTTGAAACCTTGCGGACAGTACTTTTTGAGGTATTATTCCCACGACAAGCCTGTATAAATCGATAACAGAATGTCAATGGTAGAGAACTGATGAAAAGGCCTCGATTCCCATATTAAACGGAACATTTTGTGAGACTAATCCGGAAGTGACCAAATTACACCAGTTTTAAACTCCCAAATGTAACACGTGTTTTAAACCTTCGATCCCCACAAGAACAGAGAGGATAAAATTCATTTTTCATGCTTGTCCAGTTCTCCGTTCCAAATTCTACTCTTGCACATTGGAAAACTAGAGTAAAACATAGATGCCCAAATTTTCCAGTTTTATGCAGGTATACATTTGATTTTCTCCATATATTCACATTTATAAACATTATGACATAAACCTAGTCGTATGATAGGTAAACACAATTGCTATGCTCTTTTGGGAGAGCCCAAAAATTCTAAGGGATTAGACTGCTAAACCATATGTCTAAGTGGAACATCCAAGAAACATCTTTCAGTAAATAGAATGCAAACTGCTTACAGACACAAAATATGAGCAAACACTGGAACAATTTTTCCTATTCCCAAAAAGAAACGAGGATGTCTTTTTAAAAAAAAATAATAATATATGCATGACTTAAAAAACTAAAAGCATTTTACAATCACACAAAGCATATACAAAAGGCACGGGTTTCATTCTAGGACCCTAAAATAACACCACATGCAAGTGGCTATATCCTACAACAGATCCTTTCAATGATTTGTCTATGTTACAAGAAAAGTTCATTTGGGAGCGCTTCAAACAAGTAAACATGTTGTATGAGTATGAATGCCCAAAAATCCTAATTTTCTTGATCGCACTGACACACAATGCAGATAAATGGCTGTTTCCTCAAGCTAATTGAGAAATTCAAAGGTGGAAAAGAAATTGTTGAGTAATGCAAGCCATATATGCCAGTTCATAAGTGTAGTTTTTTTTTTTTTTTTTTTGGGTCCAAAACCGTTCATTTTCTATCTCAATCAAAGGCTATCTGATAAGATGGGAAGCAAAATTATACCTCTGCGTGCTATAGGTTTACATAATAATAGTTATCCTTAATTGCTTAGAAGTTGGCAAAAAGAGACCATGGCTCAATGGAAGAATAGATAAATACCAGTTGCTTTTTGTAAGCCATCTGAATAAGTTGGTCCATTGCAACCTGTTCAGCATTCCTGCAAATTAAACCATGTTACTTGATCCAAGCAATATCTATGGATTTCATGACTGCAGCACATAACATCTACTGTGAAACCTACCTCTTTTCCGTATCTCTTCCTTTCTGAACAGCTTTACCAAGTTTCCCTAACTTGTTTTTCTTTAATCCAACCTGTCAGTAATGATAGGTGTTACAAAGATGGCAAGCCAAAAGAAAAAAAGTGAATTTAAAAGAAATAACTTGTAGGTCAAAAAAAAAAAAAAAAAGAGGAAGAAGAAGAGGAAAGAAACTATGCAAACACTTTCTGCAGTAAGAAAAAATAGAGAGAGAAAAAGAAACTTTTAGGCACACAACCTGCTGATGCAACCCTTCTTTAAGCTCCATTAGATCTTGATTGATCAATTCTCCCTCTGCTAGATCAGGCTGCAAGAAGGCATAAGAAGCATATTAAAAATGAAATAAAATTGAGGACATGTTATGATATCACTTTGAGAAAGAAAATATCAATGTATAGAAAAGAATGCTTACCAATGTTTCTGGGCATAAACCAATACTCTGTAGCTCAAGCAAAATCCGGTCATCCAGACACATCAGCTGATACTGGTCATCAGAGGAAGAAAAGCCAGGCATATTTAATTCCCTCATCTGCACAGTACCTGGATCGGTAGAACATATTTCACTGGCATGCCCGGCATCTGAATGTGAAAAGTCATCATCAACTGGCCACTGTTCATTGCTATGCAAAGAACTGGACATGCTTGGATTCCTAATTCCATTTGATACAACACTCTTGTCACATGAAAGTCTATCCAAGAAACAGTTCTTCTGTGTCTGAAAATTCACTTTTGACTCAACTTCAGATTCCATTCTGTCTCTATCTCTAGGTTCGATATCAATCAGATTACATGAACCACAATAAGAGTCATCACTGGCGTAGTGAAGAGACATATTCTTTGCTTCACTTTGTATGTAAAATTCTTCACTTTCATCTTCTTCAATTAAAGCAGAAAGAACTCTTCGGTATAACGGAGCATCCTTGTCCCCACATCCCATATCAATTCCTCCACATAAAGAAGTTGTCTTGGCCGATTTTTTATTAAAGTCCTCCCCTTGTCTTCTGCCAGAATGTACATCTTTATGCAAAACAACACCCTGAAAGAAACAGATCCCTTTTTATCAAATTCATTCTTACCGTCTTCTTTTTTTCTTTTTCTTTTCTTTTCTTTTCTTTTTTTTTTTTTTTTTTGGGAGGGGTTCATTTGAGTTTATTTAAGGTTAAAATAAAACTGATTTTTGACAGTTGCAAGTTTGTAACAAAACTTGACAGATTGGACGCAAACCACACTGCAAACTATAGGCATGCATGAGAGAAAAGAAGAGACTGATTAAATAAGTAAGGAGTATAATGCAAACATACCAAAACATTATACGCGGCACCAAGCATTTGAGAAAAATTCTCATCAAGTCCTTGTGCAGAAGTTAGCTGAACAAGCCACAAAGAGCAACAAAGCAAGAGAAATTGTAAGTCTCTGATCCATGAAAGTTCACACCATCCCGTATCTATCAAATCATCCCACTTATTACCTGTTGCTTCAAGTAGGACATATCCTCTAAGCCGACAGAAGCTAAAATAGAGTCCATCTTCTTCCAAAAAGGACCAGAACAGGCAATGTCTACAGAAGCAAGCATTTTTAACAGTTCATGCCATAGACAGAGCTGGCTTTTCAGGGTAAGCTTAAGAAAAAGGTAAAGATGCATACCACTAGCTTTCCGAGCAGAATTGGCAGCTGAAAATAGTTCTTCACGATCATCATCAGATTCGCCTGTGAATAATATGCATGGCTTATTACAAGAAATTGGGGTCAAGATTTACATCAAATGGAATTTCCACAAGCTCTCTACTAAATTTCTACTGTTTTAAATTGCTTGCATATGCATAGACAAAAACAAATAAATAAATAAAATTTGTCACTATAAATAACAAAAACCTGCAACTTCACAAAAAAAGGCACAAATTCACTGAAAGATGTTGATGGCCGTGTGATATATATTCAACCTGAGTATCTTGGTCATGCCAAGAAGAGAGTTTGTCCAGTGGGAAAAAAACTCTAATATAAATTTTATCCTCGCAAAGTAGTTTTGAGATTTGCAATGCTAATCATGAAGAACAGAGTGTTTCTACACCTATCACAAATCTAAAACTGCAAACTCCAAATTTACTGTACAGGTCGCAATTAATAGTACCTGTACAATCTAAGGAACCACTGGTAGGCATCGGTCCAACTCGCACTAAAGCCTTCCGATCTTTCAGCTTTTTGGAAGGTGGACGGCCAGTTTTGCTGATTCAGAGAAATACATATAAGCTTCAGAATTTAGAACAGTGTCAAAAACAAGTTCACACTATGATTTGACCAACCAATAGGTTGCTTTGGAGTGGGGTGGTGGTCAGGGAAGAAACCTTTTATTCTTATCAGAAGCAGCCTTTGTAATCTGAAGTGGCTTTGCAGCTGGCGGATTCTCTAACTTCTCCCTCACAAGATGATTACCTGGCCTTGTTAAGGACAAACCTCGTCCACTCCTTCCTTGTCTCCGCACGCCATCCCCAATTTCATTAGCTGATGATTTATTCTTTCTATTAGGCAATACAACAGTTCCAACTTTCTGCGTTGCAGACAGAGAAACCTCACTACTCTCTGTTCCTTTGTCCTTTGGTTTATTCTCTCCAGCTCCTGATTCTTCACTTTCAGATAATCCAAAGGGAGATGGCACACTCTCAAGTTCCCTCTTGAACTTGGGAGTATTTGTATCTAGATTACTGGCAATTAGAGATCCATTGGTTCCGATGGAAGAAGTTCTAGCACTAAAATCAGAAGTGGGAAAGCCTTGAGATGACGTCTGAGCTTCAATATGGTTTGAACCGGGAGCAATTATATTTGCCCTCCGTGTACGTGAATTTTTGTGTGGTCTCTGACCAACCCACTGAGCCATAGCATGTGAAGATGAGCCTGCAGACGTTTGACCCTTATGGTTATTTACCACTCCTGGCACTGTGACTTTATTTGAACTTGTCGGCTGTTCCAAACCTTGAAGGGATGTGGGTGAGGGGTGAGCTTTAAGTGATGAGTCTAGCAGCATGATGGACCCAGTACGTGGTGCCCGAGAAACCTTTGCTTTTATGACTGTATTAGGAGTGCTTGCTAAATTATCCTCATGGATATATAATCTGATTTATAAACAGCACCATATAAAAATTAATAGCCTCAAAAGCCATAACAAACAATCTTATATAACATATTAATGCATCTCTACTACAGAGTAAGATAGTAAAGATGAAAATACATACTTATTTGTTCCTTTTTTCACGATCTTATGCTCTAGAAGAGCTATACGGTCTCTTGCAAGAGTACCGCTTTCCATTTCATTCTTGAGGATGGAACCGGTATCTGAACTAGTAGGTTCGAAAGAACCATCCAACTTACTCATTCCACCAACTCCACCAGACGACTTTGATCTGTAATATATTAGAAACCATTTATATAACAAAATCTCTTTTTTTTCTTCCTTTATCATGAATGTGGGAAATGGTATGAACACAATTCAAGCTGAGCAGCAATGCACTAGCATGTCAATTATATATCACTGCTTTGGAAAGGATAACCCAAACAAACAATAAAGATGCGAATAAAGAGGCAAGCTTTCTGAACATGATGTCTCCATACTTGACACTTGAAAAAGCACCACAACAGATCCCTGATAGTAAACCATAATGATAACAGAACAAAAAAAAAATCAGTAATCAAGTTGATTAACAAACAAAATTACCTGAAACCCTGAGCATCACATGATCGCAACTTAGAGTCGGCACTCATCTTGGAAGCCATAGCTCGTTTTTGTTCTCGATCAGCATTTACAACTCTATTACCCATCAGTCCAACAGAACGTTTCTTTTTATTTTTTGTATCCCATCCTTCACCTCCAGCAGGCAATCTGCGGATCTTTTCTTCAAACCGAACAGCACCACCACCAACATCCTGGAGCATATCTCCACCCTTATCCGTTACTATCTGTTGCCTTGAGGGCATTGTGGACCTACCATCTGCCTGGCCGCACAGGTAAAAATCCATCAGAACTTTAAAGAAAATATAAGCACAGTTAAAAACTAGTGTCTGCTACAGAGAGAACATAAATACTCTCTATGATCAAAGGGGAGTGCAGATTCAACAAAGCATCTAAGAAACTTAACTGTCTAATATATAATTAAATCTCTGGTCCAGAAAACAATCACATCTTAAACATTATGAAGATGTACGAAAAAAGAAAATATATCAAGATAAATATCTAAGTACAAACCCGCACATCTGCCACTGAAGTACGAACACGCTTATTCAGCCCAATACTCTTGGTCCTGTCCTCCAATCTTTGAGTCATAATATCATGAGGATTCCTATGAATCTGACCCGCTGCCTTTGCTACGTTCGCTAAATTTGACCTCTCATTCAATGAAAGCTCACTCCTTTGTCGCTTCTTTGAGCTTAATGCTTCTTTATACCTTTCCAATTTAGATAAGGATTCGCGCAGCAGTTTTGCTCTGTCTCTGTTAGAAATACATGACATCTTTAATAATTACTCAAAGGTTTGAGCTCTCCAGCAACGTAAATGAATCATTATATCGAACTAAATCTTCAACACCAAAATCTAATGCAAAAAATGGAAATTCTACATGCACAAGGGCAGAAACAGCATCAAAGGAAGAATTATGAATTGTAATAATATGCAGGGGATATATATCAGGGGACAGAAAACCTGTTAAGGACAACGTGATTTATTTCATCATCTTGTTTATACAAGAAATATAAGCAATCAACTTTGCCATGACTATATTATTCCATGGCATTGCCATGTCAATTGTGACGCACAGCCATTACACTTCAATTGCAAACACAATCACATAATGACTTACACGCGTAAAATCCCGAAATAACCATAACATGGGAAGTAGCAATATGATGAACAAAATACCTAGCCTTTCTAGAAGTATCTTGCACACTTTCTTTAAAGTGCTTTAGCTCCTCCGTTGCTACTGGAGGCATTGGCTTGGGATGTGCAACTCCAAAAGCATGATCCTCTGACGCATTACTAAGAGGAACTCCCAAAACCCTCCTCACCTCTCCAGACCGTGTATATTTCTGATTGCCTAATGTGATTGGCTCCAAAGGCACAAATTGTGGAAATGGTGGCATATCCGGCGACATTGCTGAACTTCCTCGATTTAAATTATTCCCCGAACTTAGCATTATGTCTTAACCTGCTCAAAACAAGTAGCTAACTTAATAAAACAAGGATAAACACTCACTTTATTTTCTTTACCCGCCATTTTCTCAGGAAACAAACAGAAAAATTCGCAATAAAAACAAAAATCAAAACTTCCATAAACTAAAACTCCCAATTTTGTAAATTTTCCCTTTAAACCATCCCTTTTAAACAGAAAAAACCGCAGAAAAACTCAAAATTTCCATATTAATCCTAAGTAATCAGCTACTGATAGTAAATAAAAACAACAATTCTTGATTGAAATCATCAAGTAGTTAAAGGAGAATTTCATAAAAGTATCAAGAAAAACCCTAGCTGCTACTTACAGTCGGAATTACGATAAACTATAAAGGAGATAAGCGAATAGTACCTCGGAATCGTTAAATTCAAGCTTCGATCAAAATATTATTATTTTTTAAGAGAGAGAAAAATTGTGTAAATATTTTAGGGAGAGAAAGAAATAGAAGAAACGTGATGGAAAAAACTGGAGGGAGAGAGGGGGCGAAAGAGAAGGAGAAGGAGGGAGGATGATAAAAATAATGAATTATATGATCCCTCGAGTATTGGTATCTGGTCAAACCGGTACATTTATTTTACTTTCAGTCAAATTGGGTCCTCTGTTTTTAAATTACATCATCCCTTTCTCATCTTTACATAATTTAATTAGTTAAATATTTTTACATAATTTACATGACTAGTATAAGTTACTTCATTGAAAGAGACAGGCACAAAAAGGAGAAAGAAAATTTACAAAAAAAATTAAAACAATATAAAAATCTTTTTATCACTTTTAGTGGGTTCAACTGTAATCTTATTTCTTAAAAATGAGTTAATAGAATCACTATCAAACATATACACTAATTACTCCTTTCAATATTATAAAATTTCTCAAATAGTTTTAATACGCTATTACGTTAAATGTCTTCTACATATAACCTTGAAACTAGCTATTTTATCAATTGTTATATCAATTGCCGAGTTTAGAAATGCTGCATGAATGAAAAGTTGGTTGTTTGGAATCATTTCATTGCTTTGTTGTGTTTATTTCTTGGTGCAAACACGAAAGGATTAATCAATTACCAGCATGGATGAGGAATCAATGGAGGCCATGGCAAAAAACACAAAAGCATGAAGCCAACACAAGAAATCAAAAGGAATAACAGGTCCTAACTTTCGGGTCTAAAAATTATAAGAAATAACCACATCTTCAACCTGCAAATAAACTATGTTGAAATCATAAGGATGCATTGCTACCGGATGAAGATAGACATTCTCCCAGATATGTCCCTTAAAATGTTCATCAATATCTAATAACTTGAATTGTGTAATGACAAGTTACCGCAGATTGATAATCAAAGTAGCAGACTTTTGGAGATTTTTTCCTGTTAAGAGGCTAAATACTACTTAGTGAATTTCGGATTTCAAATATCTAATCCAAGAGGAGTGCTAAAATCACTCTCTAAAACTCTCTTTTAAACACTTGCTCAATAAAAGTGTCCACCTCACATAATAACGAGATATGAAATAACCGATGTCCCATATTATAAGGATATTTTTAAATTACAATAAACCTCCTATTATCTAAAATATTAAAATACCCTTTGTTTATTTATTTAGTTTTGTTATTTCGCGATCTCCTTCGCCAAGAAACCAAGTTGTCGTGGCACCACCAAAGCGAGCAACAAAAAGGATAAATTATTCACTTTCATATTTTATTTCTTTCTCTCCGTAAAACAATTAATTTTCCGAAATTGGGATATCTTTTAGTTTTTTCTTTGTTGTTTGAGAATTTGAAATGAGGATATTTGAGTCAAAGGGAAGAAAACTCTAAATTGCTCGACAAATTATTTTGTTCTAGAAGTAAATAATAAGTTAAATAAATAAATAAAAGGTATTTTAGTCTTTTAAGTGATATGAAATTTATTGTAATTTAAAAATATCCGTAAAACATGAAACATTAATTATCTTTTATTTGTTATTATTTGACATTAATATTTCTATTTAATAAATGTTTAAATGAGAGTGTCGGAGAGAGTATTGCTAGCACTTCTCTTTAATATAAATATCTAATCATTATCAACTACCGATTAGATTTCGATGTGATCATAAGAAATGTTTTAAATTTAAATTTGTCAAATAATTACAACATCTAACTACAATAGATGAATAACTAAACTATAGAGCCCACAGAGTATGTACAAGTTCAAAATTGAAAGACTAAATTTTTTTTTTAAAAAAAGAAATTTAAATACTATTTATTATTTGCTTTCTCCCAATAAGAATCAAGAATGTCATAAATTAAAAAAAATTGCATGGACGATAAAAAGTACAAAGCAATTTTTAAAATAAGTGGAGCTTGACTTACTTGACTAAGGATAAAATAGATGTTTATTAAAGTAAAAAAAAAAGTAAAATAATTAATTTATAAAAAGAGAAAAAGAGTGAGAATGTGGTTAGCTTATGAGAGCGTCAATATCACCTCTCAATATTGCAATCCAAAAAATTATCTCCAAACAAAATATATCAAATCTTTAGCCGATACAAAGAATAAACAAGAAGCCTATCTTCTTTAAATAGTTTAATGATTCATTAGATATTTGGTAGAATTGATAAAATAGTTATTCGTTTTGTCACCTATCTATTGTCATTTCTATTCTGAAACAAAAATCTCCCACTACCATCATCATCACAATTCTCCTACTTGACACCTTCCCCGTTCCTTGTGGCCAAATCAATTCCATTGTCACCCTCTTTGCCTGCCCTAACTGGCCTCATTTCCCTTTCAAAGATTTTATCAACATTTCGGTTCAACGTGGTAGTGGAATTAATATATAGATGCTCCCGCTCTAAAAGCTGTGGTAAACAGCAAAAACGAACCAACCTTGTCATTTCGGAGGTGTCAATGGGCCGATTGTGATAGGCTTGGAGCAGGCCAGGCCTTTCGGCTGGAGATAATTTGTGGGTTTGTATTTATTTTGGCTTCTGTGTGGATGGGCTCTGATCACCACCAAGCAAGGCTTTGGGCCTAGTTAACGTTTCCATCATCGTCGAAGTATTGTTGGGCTTTCGAGTGTTTGTTTCAATAGGTGAGGCAATTCACTTAGAAGAGTAACTTCTGAGAATATACTTCCCTGAGAGCCACGTGTCAATGTGGAAAGAGAAAGAAGAAAAGGAAGCGACAGGATAGCATGATGTTTGCTCGTCCCTGAGAACCACATTGGTTGGGGGGGGGGGCTGAGTAAATTATAAATTAGTCCCTTTCATTTCAAGGAAAAAATTAATTACTCCTTTTATTTTAAAAAGTAACTATTTAGTCCTCTTTTTTAAAATTTACTTGTAATTTAATTTTTTTTCACTTTTTCAATTTATTTTGATAATTATTTTAATAAATATCAAAAATTTAGAAACACTGATGAAAAAAGACATTTGATAAAATAAAAATAATATTAAATTAAATATAATCAACACCGATTACGCAACTAGATAATAATTTTTGAAACATAATAGATTTATTTATTTATTTATTGAAACTATAGGGACTAGTTTATAATTTACTTAAAATGGCGTTATGTTTTGCTCATGTTTCCTAAAACTATTACTAAGGAGTAGTATGTGCTCGAGGGTAATACTGAAAAGCTTTAAAATCTTTTAGTTTGAGCACAAAATCTAAAAATTCAAAATTTGAAACTTAACTATAAAATTTGAAAAACTTGGTGAAATTGAAACAAATATGAAAATTTATAGGAATTAAATTTCAAAAAATATAAAATCTCATCTTGCAGAAATCAAGAAAATAAGTAGAATTTCTAAAATTTTCTAAGAATCTGTAAAAATCTAGAGAAACTACAGAAAATATGGTAAATAGAAAAACTAGACCAAAACTGAAAACTTCTTGCTACATTTAGACACAGAAAGTATCTATAATAATAACACTAATAGATGAAAACAATATTCATAATTGCTTTCTTACGATTTTTTCAATTTTTGTTTTTTAGTATTTTTTTTTTAAAAAAAAAATCTTAGTGGGCATTAAACTGCTAAATACTACTCCCAAAATGAAAGTGCCAAGGTCGTTGAAGATGCAGTTTCTCACTGTTTTATCAAATAGAGCATTACATCTAAAGAAAATACCTTAGATATAGCATTCCCATCCTCTTTTAGAATCCATTGAAATTGAGAATCACATACACCATACCTTTAGAAATTCAAAATCGAATAACGTATATTAGCAATTTGATAAAATATATATGCAATTCTTCGTTATCAAGTTAAAATGTTATCTACAAAATATAACTCGATCGGATATACGTTTATTTTCACCTTAAAATACTAAAAGACATTTCTTGAAAAATAACCAAATCAACATGGATGAATTAAACCGACCATAGTCGAACAAGACTTTTCAACTAGTGGTTCAACAATATAAACAAGAAAGACAAATAAAGACTCGTTTAATCTTTTTTGAGTTAAAATTTTGATGAATTTGGATTTTGAAGTGATTTTAGATATGATAAAATATTATATGACTTCTAGACTATTAGGTCACGAGTGCGTTGTGAGTATATAATCCGACCCAATAAATATCTATTAAAAATGTTCAATAAACATTAAGACTCGATAAACATAAAATAGAAATACTCCAGGCTAGAACAACAAGTTCTTTATTGACATCAAATTCAATAATTACAAATCTAATAAGAATAATTCTCATAATTAGATGTATATTTTTGTACATACTAAATTATAAATTAGTTCCTCTAGTTTTTTTTTAAAAAATAAATTACTTGGTTCTTTTTGTTTCAAAAACCATTATTTAGTTTTTAATTAATATTGATCATCTTAATTTAATATTATTTTTACCTTACAAACTGTCTTCTTTTCTAATCAATCTTTCTATATATCTTTTTTCTTGTTTCTATTTTGTAAAATAAAAATTAAAAAAAAACTAAGTTACAAGTAGTTTTAAAAACACGAGGATTAAATA